GTTCGAGTACGTTCGATGAAGTTTGTAGATAGACCCCAAACGGTTCTAAGTACGTCCAGTCCGTTCGTACACAGTTGAAGCCCGTTTTCGAGAACGTAGTGAAAACTAGTTTCGTGTTAGTAGGGTTAGTAAATATAGGATTTGGGCACAAAATGATTTTGAAAGAATATCAACAATTTATTACAAAATTTCAACATTACACCCCCTGAGTCATGTTTACCTTGATTTGACCTTTGTTGACCTGCTTTTTTAAAACCAATACTTTTCTGAAGAGGTAATTGAATAATACCAACATTGAGACAGACAAGCAATTAAAATCGCCGAGGGGGTGTCCAAACGACCCCCTTGCGACTTGTTATAAAAAAGGTTGCAGACATTAGGCTTAAACTTATATTTTAAGGAAGGGAGCGAGGAAATCGTAACAGAATACACATTATAAATCCCCCTTGAGTTCGTTTCATCAATTCCAAAAAGCAGTTTTCTGAGATTTGAGGAATTCGTTCACAATCAGAATTTTGTCAGTTTGCATGGACTATTTGGAATTACGATTTTTAATACTTAGTTAGCTAAAATCAAAGGTTTATATATCGTCGAACAAAGTTTATCCACCATCTTAGATGGTACCAAGTTGCTCCAGTTAATCATGCGGTATTAACTTCGACCGTTAATTTGAATTTTTGACCAACCAGATGTTTGAAAATCAAGGATTACGAGTCTCATACTGCACCGTTTTTCTTCAAACTTGTTCCATTCAAAGCATAACAAAAATGCCTTTCTGTTGGTACATTATTCTGCTATACAGAGTTACTTTCAGCGGCATTTGGGTCCCCAGCTGTGAGAAAGGCTTCTCACAACTGGGGACCAAAACGCTGCTAAAACGAGTGACTCTTTACAATAAAACAATGTAACAACAGAAAGACAATTTTGTTTTGCTTTGAATGGAACAAGATTGAAGAAAAACGGTGCAGTATGAGACTCGCAGTCATTGATTTTCAAACACCTGGTAGGACAAAAATTCAAATTAACGGTCGAAGTTAGTACCGCGTGTTAATATCATCCCGTTTCTGCGTGCTTAGACGTTGTGCACAGGTTTTGGCACTTTCAATTACAGCGAGTACCGACACGTATAAGGCGTGTCAAGAGTTAATTCATTGTGTGGCAAGAGCTGAAGAAGTGTCAAAACTAAATGAGTCGAAATTCGTGTCAAGAGTTGTCTAGTCGTGCTTAATCTTGAAACGTCATTTTCCAGGCAATGACAATGCACACATATGCATAATGTCACCACCTGCCATTTTTACAGACGCCGACCGCCGAACGCCCAGCATCAACCACCAACCACCGTCCATCAACAAGTGTCTCAAACAATGTGTCACCACATCAGGTACAAGTTTCATCAAAATGCAATTATACATTTGTTAATTATGTTCGGGATTTTCCGGAACCCCAGTTCGCATTGATCGCAAAAAACTCCACTCAACATTCGTCAATATGTTTAAAGACTAATTATTCTAGTACGATGCAAATGAGATGTACGAGAATATGCCTCGGAGAGACAAAGGCTAATTATAGCCTAATTTGCACTTTGAGAAGTCATGAAATATCGGCGGTCGACGTTTTATGTAGAGGTTCAAAGACTGATAAAACAAAAGAATTTACATTTAACATATACAGTGTATGGTTTCAGTGAGCGCCTACAGGCACGAAGTTATACATGTTTAGTTAGCCTGTCTTGGACATTAATTACTTTTTATTTTATTATTTATTCAGTGCAGCTCCTACATTATATGTGATTGACGTTGATACGTCTAAATCTTTTGTATACCCAATTGTTTTAATTCCGGATTTCCAACACATGTTTCACATTTCAAGTTATTGTAAAAATAGTATTACTGGTAAACATATACAATGGCAACGTACGCAAATATTTAGCAGTTATGTCCCTATCATTGAATATATGCCTAAGGTCTGTCACCAATATAGCCCGAGCTTGCGAGGGTTATATTACGACAGACCGAAGGCATATATTCAATGATACGGACATAACTGTTGTATTACATACTTTTATATCATGTACGTTATATCAATGACGCCACGTGTCTGTGTGCGAGTGAAATTAGGAAGAAATGAAACATGACGTCCCGATGACGTCATAAGATTGTCATGGTAAAAGGTTTGGCGACTATACAGGAATATATAGCCGACCTTCAGCTCCATTGACTTCAATACAAATGCTTCGCTGGGTATGTAATACATACAATTATTTACCAACTTGCGGGGCCTGTTCTAGGGGTTTTAGTACTAGTTGAGAAGGCATTTAAATTGCTATATTGACGTGAGCAATATTGTGTCGGGCGTTAATGACTTTAGTCGGGCAATAATGACATTATCCGCCCGGCTATGTTTCCCGGGAAAAGTGATATCGTTCAGTGCGTAAGATTTTCTATTTCAAATTTGCTATTTCAGCCCTGGGCATTAACGGTGGTAATAATAGTACACTGCGGGCAAAATAGTGAAATATTGGACCTTGGACCTGCGGCCCTTGGTCCAATATTTCACTATATTGCCCTTTGAAATGACGTTATTGTACTATTATTAATTTATACAGCAGAAGACGAATGGTACTCTTTGCATTCATTAAATTTCGCTTCTTAAAAGAGAGCTTCGATGGTTGTTTATCATCGTGAGATATCACAGCCTTCTTTCAGTTTCCTTCTAGAACATTCATGTGTATAGCAGAGATGGTCTGAGTATCAGAATGGTTGTTTATAACAATTGGTTGAACTTGACAAATAGGGCCTAAGGGAAAAGACTATGCCTAGTTTGAGAAAAATGCGATGAGTACTAGAATTAACTTTTTCTGAAACTTATGACTTTATGACGAAGCGCAGGCGCTGTCAATGCTTATAGATAATATTTGACTTAAATGTAAAATCGTTGACTCGAATATTGTAATGATCCGGCCTTCGGGTGTATCTGAATAATAAAAAAAGATTAACAGATCGACATCAATAACTGTCATTCAATGGATGGGATCGGATGATTTGTCCGCTATGGGGTATCAGACTATTTTTCAAGAAACTCCTACTCACTTATTTTTAAATCAGAATTTTCGTTATAACAAAGAAAATTCCTTTCTATTTTTTATTTAACACGTATTTAAACATATTTAAATTGAAAGAGATACAAAAATCACGTCATTAAATATTCAAAATTCAGTATATTATGATATCATGTTTAAATCTACACGTAGAATCATATCTAGAAAAAGTGTTTATCAAAATCTTATTGGTGACTTCAAGGTCGTTTTGATTCCCCAAAGACTGACATGTTATAAAATCACAAAAAGTGAAATATCTTAAATTTTCTCATATTGGACAGATAATATTTTCTTTTACTGAACAAATTCTTATTTGTATAACAATTAGATACATGAGAGTAATATGAACATTGATCCACTAAAACTGATTAATATTCAAGGGAACTTTCTACTATATCTGCCATGTTATCTGACCCGAATTGGCCATCTAGTGGCGAAACTGTAAACTGGCACCTGGGTTATTAACAATTGCGGATTAACGAAGCTAGTTTCATTAGCGGGGAGGTAAATAATGGTTTCGTAAGGGTATAGTGCTGCTATTTTATAATTATTTTAAAATTTCGTCAGATGAGGGGAGGGGGGTCAAAAATAACGAAATTAACCTCTTTTTCACGACTCTTAATAACTAGACACCATCCCTAAGGATTTAAGGATTTAAATAGTAGTGCATCTTTGATTAGACTACGGACTGTCGTAATCGTATTTTCATATGTGGACTAATGTTATTTACTGATAAGTCTTTATTTTGATGCGACTTAGGGGCTATAATGTGTGCTGTACTGTTTTTTACGAATGATATAGCGTTTGTGATTTTACAGGGTGGTCCAAAAAAGTGAACCGCTGCAATTGGATATATTTCCCTTACTACCAGCAGGAATCCTTTCATATTTTCACATGTTGTAGAGGAAGGTCTACAGTTTTTTTGTACCATACATTTTTCTTGCTCTTGAAATTTGCATAGATTATAACTTAATAAATATTATTGAAAATGGATAAAATGTGATTTTCAACATCCACGATTCTTAAACCTGTCAACAACCTTCCGCAGTCTGAAAGACCTAACATTTTTGACTTTGTTTGGTTTTGAAACCCGCGCATTATGGTGTAAATCTAGCACCCTACGTTAGTGGCAAAGTTGTTGTGACCCAAAGAAATGTTCTAGGTTCCCATTGACAAAAATATTTTCCAGTGAAAACTTAAAACAGCTTTCAATGTGTTTCAACAGTTTCCGTGAATCACATTATTTGGTAAAAGTGTGTACAATATCCAATTTTCAGGCATGCTTGTTTAAATCTGTTCTTCAAAGTTCAAGACTGAGAATAAATAATGGCATCAACAAAAATGTTAGATTTTTGAGCCAATCCATGTATGCATTAAGGAAAATATAGCCTGTTGCAGTGGCTCATTTTTTGGACCACCCTATATTGATGCAATTTGTTGCCATCTACAAGTGTCTCATACATCGGCGTAGGCTAGAGATTCCTAAATGGAATTTAGTATTGTATTTTATATTTGTATATGTATATCGACCTCGGACTCTATAAAAACTGTATAAACTATATGAAAATAGTGTTGCTTCATTGATTAGACATTAGAGTGAGGTTGCAATTTATTACGGAGTGGGTTGGTTAAACCCCACGATCTGCCGCTATCATATTATTTTCATATATAACACTTACACGGTATAGTACCTCAGGACTTATTTCGTGAACTAATAATCTTTTGATTTTGATGATGCCCCGGTGATGATGCTTGATATGGTACGCTGCAATTGCTTTTTACAAATGATATGTTCTTGCATTGGTAATTAATAAGTCACTCCCTTATATACATATCAGTAATGTGAACAAATTATCAATATTAAAAGTCCAATGTTCAAGCGATTTCTTATCTCTTAACATGTCGGTTCTAGTGAAGTTCTGGCATTACCAGTCGAAGTATATAAAAGAGAAGTCATACATGACACACGGGAAGCCACGAAAAGCTACTTTAAATAAATGATTATGGTTTCAACAAGATGCTATTTCCTTCTATAAATTGGTACATATATGATATATGTTTGAGCAAGGGATATGCTAATGAAGTACCAATGCGACTAGATAATGTTTACTACATTCCGTAGAGCAATCATGAAGCCGCGTAGAGTAGCCGTTGTTATTCTCCTCCTAGGGATAGCGACAATTTTGATATTAAACTTTTTTAGAATCACGAGAGTTCCAAATGAGTACCAAATAAGAGAAGATAGACAAAAAGAATACCCTATAACCAACAAAAGGCCAGGTGATATTCAATTAGAAAGGAGTGAGAAGACGACAGATGTTAGAAAGACTACTGCAAGGATGGAAAGAGTTGTAGAGAAAAAAGTGGAAATAGCGCTGGTGTGTTTAACGTGTACCTTAAACATACGTAAAGACATAAAGGATATTCCTTTCTTTCAAAACTTCATGTCATCGTTGTGTAAAACTGCTTCGACGGGATACGCCTACACAATATATCTACCCAAACAGGAGGGGACAGTAGACAAAGTAATTAAAGATATATTAGACTCAGACTTTAAAAGTTGTTCGAAAAAGTTTGATATACAAATTCGAATTATCCCAGATATTGATTTCAAAACCAACCCAGGCAAGGGACTAAATGACATCATGTACATAGCATACTTATCAGGAGCATCGTATATTTACAAAATGACTGATAATGCAAATTCCTCGTTTAGTACAAATAAATGGACGGAAATGTACACAAGCGAATTAGGAAACCGCAAATACAATAATATAGGGATTATTTTCGACTGCAAACAAGAGACATTCCGGAAATGTCAATGTTCTTACTTTATTCACAAAACTCATATGGACATATTTGGATCTGTTTTTCCACCTGATATAATGGGATCAGATGTGGATCATTGGATTAATTATCTTTATTCAGAAAACTTTACGTCGTACATTCCTGTTACGTCGGTTGCTTCTTGCCCTGAACGTGACATTAAAGGTCAAGATTTAATCACGTCTTTAGTAATAAAGTACAAACCACTCTTGGAACACTTTATCAGTAGCTTGCGAACCACTCAAACCAAAAGAAAAGATTGGGTAATTTCAATGAGTCTTTGGGGAAACTCCCATAGATATACGTATGGAGCGATAAGAAACGCTCAACTTGCAAGGGTTAACTTTCCCGAATGGACACTTAGGATGTATATCGAAAAACGTGATATTCTTCAAAATAAGCACTCAAAAGTCCCTGGTGATATTTTGACAAAGTTAGTTGAACTCGGAGTAGAACTATATAACGTAGATACGAATCGAGTAACCCTAGGTCCAATGATCTGGCGTTTCATGGTCGCAGACGATATGACAGTTGACAGGTTTATAGTCAGAGATTCGGACAGCCGATTAACAGAGCGGGATGCGGCAACCATTCACGAGTGGCTACAAACTGACAAACCTTTCCATTGTATACGTGATCATCCCAGTCATGGTAACTATCCACTCAATGGCGGACTGTTTGGAGGTCAGCCTAGAGATATCCTAAAAATATTCAACGAACCATGGAGCAAATTGTCTTCACGATATGGTTCGAATTATCTGGAGGATATGAACTTTTTAAATAGGGTCGTTTGGCCAAAGGCAAAGAATTACTTTTACTGCCATGACAGTGTTTCGTGTAAGAAATGGCCCAGTTCCTATCCATTCCCAGTTGCCCGCAATGGCAAAGAGCATGTGGGTGGAGTGTACGATCAGTATAACATTCCCCGACAGGGAGACCTTGATATATTAAACCTGGACGCCTTACCAGCAGAGTGTACAAAAGTAACATCTACACAAGCTCCAGAAACAACTATCGCTCCAAGTACGCTAAAAACAAGTCGACCAGTTGTTATATGGAGCAATGATTTCCACATCAGTCCTATACACGATCTTAAAAATTTCTTGCAACCCATGGGTGTTACGTTCATTGATAAGAGCCTGTCGGGACATTGTCATCTGACAAATACATGTGCAAATGGTTTGAAAGTTTTGGATAAGGGAAATGGTATTAACTTAGACAGACCCTCCATCTATACAGAGTTTTTTAAAGCATACAAAGATGACCCTGAAATGGAAAAAGTGGATGCATTCGTGTGTTACCATCCGTCATCCATGTGTGAAATTTTCATGCCGTTCAACAAGTCTATAATTGTTGTACCCTCAACGCGGTATGAGATGGGTCGTCATTCTAAGGAACGCTGGGAGGCCTGGAATGTGAACTTAAAACGCATTTCAGATCAGCCGCAAAATACCATTGGTGCCAACAACCAGTATGACTTAGAATACGTGCGCTACTTTACAGGAATTACACCCACGCTTTTACCGAGTTTCTGTGGTTATGTGGAAGATAAGTATAACCCTACCCGGCCTGGATTTCTTTTAAGTCCGATCCACAAAGCTGGATTCCAAAACATTTTTCTTGGAGGATTTAACAAGGCGAAAGAGGAGCTTCACTCTAATGTAAGTCTGACTCCACTTCGTGAGCTGTATGGTCATTACAAATACAGCGATCTGGCCAGCCATCAGGGGATTGTACACGTACCTTACCAGGTATCAGTGATGAGCCTATTTGAACAATATAGGATGAACATCCCTTTATTTTACCCCTCACTCGATCTTCTGGCTAGTTGGCAACTTACTGACAATGTTCTCAATGAGCGAACGTGGAGTTCCGTATTTGGCTCGATTCCCGACAAATCCGTAATACCTGGTGTACTAGACAACGTTCCAGACCCAAATAATGACAAAAATCTCGAAGCTATAAAATATTGGCTGAAATTCTCAGACTTTTACCAATGGCCTCATATAGTTTACTTTGATTCATACAAAAATCTGATCGAGAAACTAAAATCCACTGATCTGAGGAAAGTGTCTGATGGAATGCGTAAATATAATGAAAAGGTAAAAACTGATTTGACTGATAGATGGCAGTCAATCTTACAGAAAACACGGAAATTCTCTAAGCATTATAATTAAAGGTTCCTCAAAGGCATATGATTGATTTAACGTTGTGATTAACGGGGCTTCACTTTTAATTTTAATTAGAAGATATCGAAATAAATATGATCTCATTAAATGCACATGTGACATCACTTAGTCATAAATAAATACAACAACAACGAAACCTGACCTACATGTAGTTCAAACTTCAGTATACTAACAGTCTAAGTCACCCTTTTTATATGTATCATTTTATTTTTTAACCTAGAGAGTCACAGCTAACTACTTTGTCCCCCTAGCGATCATAATACAAATATGTTAAGGTTAGTACATATAATAGTAAAAGGTCACACAAAACGATGAGTACAATCAATGAATATCTGCACCTTGTCAAAAGGTCACCCTTTCTGTGCGTCAATCAAACCTAAAAAAGGACCATACTGCAGTATTGTATGAAAAATTACATTTATACCGAAGTAAAACATTTTCGTATCGGATTGCTTGTAAAAAATGTTTGGCCTCTTATATTTTGATGTTTCGTTCTAACACCTTCAAAAAATACCATGGTCGAGACTTCTTAATATAACTTACGAGACTTCTTTAAGAAATATTGTACTAATAGTAATACAAACACCAAATTAGTGAACATATGCGAAGAAGCACCACTTGCACTATCCGAAAATCCGAGTTCCCTAGCCCTGGTCTGTGCTACAACCGTATTTTGGTCATCACTTGAAGTGGCGCCATATGTGGTCCTCATACATTGCTCACCATCGGCCACGACATTGTTTGCATAGTTCCATACTTGCTCACAAAAGTTCTTAGCTGTTGGAAAATGCTTGTGATAGTTGTCACACTTTGATTCTTCAAGACATTCCATTCTTCCTGAAATCATTGTTTTTAGTTAGAACAGGGATGATTAAATCAGTTTAAATGATTTGTAGCCCATTAGTAGTGTAACGACGCATTGGATAGCACGTTGCTCCTACGCCTGGGTCGACTCCCTCACGGTGCGTTTAACAGACTTCATTTTAATTTTAATGTAACCACCAGAGGTGGTGAAATATTGTTATAGTTTGTTCGGCGTTCGGCGTTCTCCTTTGGTAACAAATTCTTACAACGTCCAATAATTGCTGGTGACATTTGATAAATGCTTTGTGTTTAACTGTCTTGTTACACTATGCTTGCCCACTCCCCTGACTACTCAAACGCTTTAAAATTGTATAAGTACATGTTGCTTGCAATTTGGTAACTACCTAACTAGTGTGTGCCAAAACTCCAGAAAATCACAAAAACCTATGTTGTGGTAGCTTACTATGAAGTGACCCATTAGCATTATAGATTGGTCCATCAACTATTCATTTTTACTTGTCTGCACTCAAAAAGGTGACACGAATGGGCTAAACGGCTCGCCACAAGGTGCAACCATCAAAAAGATGAGTTTGATAAAAAATTATTTTTTTCAAATAATAGCAATGGGTATACAATATAGGAGGCGAATTTGATATTGATAAGTATGATAGTCCATTTGCGTGTGGCCATTTTTATAAAAAACTATAATTGTGAAGAATTATATATATCTGACCTGAAAATACCATCTTAATTCAAAAGTCATGGTTATTAATGATAATATTCCTATTTCACCTATTCAATGTTTTCAAAATATTTTAATTACCGTTATATTCATTTTTGGCAAAGTAAATAAATATAGGGCTCACACAAGGATCAACTTTATTTGCAATATTTTCATATTTAGTGATGTTTTGAAAAAATATAAGGTTAAACACAATTTTATTTGTTAAATGTTTAACAAAATAAACATAGTGTGTTTATTTCATTGTTTCGACTGAAAAATCGGAATTCATTGCTCTTCCTCTTAGAACGGCAGAGGATATACAAGTACATCAACAGTTTTAAAAAACGTTGATCCTTGTGTAAGCCCTACACTTATTTACTTTGCCAGAAACTGATATAATGGTTATTCGTCGGTATGAAAATCATTTCAAAGGTAAAAAAGGAAGAATGTCATTGAACTTGGAATAAAAAGCATTATATGGTTAGAAATACCCAATTTTTACAATAAATGTTTTTAATAATATAACCATACCCTAATGGACTATCTTTACATTTCAATAACCAATGTGCATTATATTTTGCATGTTTTACTGCAATTATTTGTAAAAATTTTTTAAATCTTACATTTTTGACTGGAAAGTGAAGAGACAATGCTCAAATATAATATTATAATATTATTGGTCACATTTGGTTATTTCATCCAAACAGATTCGGGATTTTTTAGTCCAGGCATATGAAGAAACTAGTGTGAATTAAATATTATTTGTTGTTTGATTTAGCTAAACATAATATGTTGAACTTGCTTTGGCCATTAAACTTTAAATTTGCTTTGAATTTAGATTTTGGGAAACACATCCGGTTACTGATCCAATTCAGAACTACTAGAGAAAGTAATTCTCGTGAAAAACTTCGTCAACGTGACTGTTGATTACTGATTGCAGTCATGCAGTCATTAAACTAATGACCTCATATTTGGATATCCTCTCTTCTGATATGATTTTACAATTCACTTCAAATTGTCAAAGGACCAGGTATAGTATGACAAGTGATATCTGACGGTCATATATTTTACCATGACGACTTTCTCAATATACAGGGTGGTCCAAAAAAAATTGGAACATTTGTTAATTGAACACAAAACCTTTATTTTTCCTCTAAAATGCACCAAAATTTCACTGAGCATAGTTCAGTCACTTATCTCTCTGATGTAAAGTTTATAGGTGCAAACCACAAAGTTAATGCATTAAACTAGTCAATGTTTGATATGACCCCCTTTTCTTAAATATACACTTGTCAATTTGGCAGCTACTTTTTCAAGTATTCTTTATTCCAAAGCTTTAATGAACATGTTGATTGCTATACACATTTTATAAAATCATATTTAGTTGACATGAGGTATTAACATCTATGGTTTACTGGAAAACTATTGTGTTATTGTCAACTTAAGAATACCCCAAATCATTATTTTTATTTAAAAGTAGTAAAGAAAGAACATATCAGAGGTGAGTGACTGCATAACCCATACAGCTACTAAACTGACAAAATCATAGTTTCCACTTTTCAGTAGAGGGGAAACTGACTCGTTATTTTTAAGGCTTTATTAAAGACCACCTCTAAGCACACATAACATAATATATCATTTGTGTTCTAGTGGGAAACTCCTTTATGATATTGATATACATATATTGATATATTCAATGAATAGTATTCATATTAGAACAAGAAAGAGGAGGGGGTTCATTTACCAGTCAAAACAGACTGCCCTTGCCTCTTTCTGGAGAATATTCAATCAGTAATATATCCAACAATGGCCATCAAAATATGCTTGATACCCATCAATTTGGGTAAAAGAATGTTGAATATGTTCATATATTTGATCTTTCAAGGCAAACATATAAGCAGTTTGTTCAAGCTGAATTTTTAATCAAGATGTATTGGATAAAATCAAACGAACAGCAAAGTGAATGAATCATTTCAAAACTTAGTCCCAGGCTTCAACTTGTAATTCAGGAGAAAAGGGGTCATATCAAACATTCTCTAGTTTAATGCATTAACTTTGTTGTTTGCACCTATAAATTTTACATCAGATAAATAAGTGATTGAACAATACTCAGTAAAATTTTGGTGCATTTTAGAGAAAAAATAACGATTTTGAGTTCAATTATCAAATGTTCCAATTTTTTTTGGACCACCCTGTAAATATGACATTTCTCAAAAACACAATATGTTATCTTTCTAGAAAATTCAATTCTCAATGATTATAAAAATATCATTCGAACAATCTAAAAACCCAAATTATGCTGAAAACAATGGATAGTTTGAGTTTTTCCAATGGAAAATAACATGGAATTTGTGGTTTTTAACTTTATCGCTTTTCAATACCCGTCCCCTTTTCAGAATTTGTTAATTCATGAGCGTAGAGGAACTTTTGATATATTCAAATTAAGAAAAAATACTTCAGAAAATAAGCCTAATATTTTTCAAAAAGTGACAAGGTGAGGATCTTATCAATAATATATGTCAGATATATTTTCATATATTTATAATTTCAATTTCAATTTATTCATACATTCAAGCATTATGTTTACGAATATTATTAATAACAGGTGGCACCACAGGTGATGCTTATACCTGTACATATAGTAGTAAAATCATGTAGTGTATCATTAAGTTGTCAAGGAATCAAACCAGAATGAAATCATAAAAAATAAGTTGAAAATAAAGGTTGTGGGGGATTCATGATGTTTTTTCTTTTCAAGTGAAGAAGTTGGATGATATCATTTTTATCACGGGGACTTTACATAAGAAAAATCATATTGTTTTCACAAAACACGTTCAGCCCCAAAACGCCAAATACTAATTAGATATTGAGCTGTGACCTTGAAATGATCTTGATCCATAAACACTGACATATGGATCTCTGGTCACTTTATCATTGGTCATTAAATAGGACTGTAGCCCCACAGTTGCCAACTACCTAGATATTGACCTTTGACCTTGAAATGACCTTGACACCAGGTCACCTAATCATTGGTCATCAAAGTTCACAATTGTTCTCAATTGCCCTTAAACTCCAAATTGCTAGATATTGACCTTGGAAGTCACTCTATCATGAGTCGCTAGCTACAGCAGATCCCAGGGCCTTAATACACCAAATACTTAGATACTGATATTTGACCTTGGAATAACCTTGACCTCAGGTCACACATTCATGATTCACAAAGGGTAACCTCAACCCAAAAACGCCAAATACTTAGATATTGATGACCTTGAAATGATCTTGACCTATAGACCTTGACCCTGACAACAGACCACCTAATAATCGGTTGTCAAGGGTCAGAATTGTTCTCAAATGCCTTAAAGCCCCACATTTTATGAACAAAACATACGAAGTTAAAAACTGATCTTTTTGAAATGAAATTGCTGCTAATGTTTCAAAACTAAGGTATCTGTATTGCAAAAGTAATATTTAAATTGAATAAACCAAAAGAGATGTAATTTCCCATCAGATTTAGTAAAATTATAACTCTTAAGTAAATGTTGCAATGAATGCTCACACATATCTTGTTGCATATCAATCAATCTATTGCAACTGCTACGGGTGTCACTCTGACACGTATCTGTGAACAAATCAAACTTCTTTGATGGTGATGTAATACAAATTGGTATCTTTTAATATGACGTCCGTAAGATAACCCATCAATACCAGGATTGTCAAAACTTGGCATTAATAAAATCAATTCCCGTCTTATCACTGTCACACCCATTACTACAAGATGATGTCTCGTAGATCACTGTCTGCAAGCTATAAACTAAAAAGAATCAACTTCACTATCTGCTGCATCACTATAAATATAGAGTGTTGTCCTGGAAGTGATGCACTATATGCTCGTAATCCCTTTTTTTATTCAAAATCAAAAGTCAATGATACTATTCCTATTTTACCTATTAAATGATTTTTATATATCCAAATAACCATGATATACGTTTTTGGCAAAGTAAATAATTGTAGGGCTCACACAAGGATCAACTTTTTGAAGACTTTTTCGAACTGGTGTAGACTCTCCTGCTTGCAAAGCAAGGGCGATTAATTGAAATTTTTCAGTCGAAAACAAGAAAACAAACATATAATTAATTTTTCTTCAACAAATAAAAGATACAATTGAGCTTACCTTCGTATTTTTTCAAAACATCACTTAATATGAAAATGCTGTGAAGAAAGTTGATCCTTGTGTGAGCCCTATGATTATTTACTTTGTCAAAAACTAATGAAATGGTTATTGGTATATTTAAAAAACATTGACGATATAAAATAGGAATACTATCCTTGACAACAGTAACTTTTTAATTGAAAACGCATTTTAAGGTCATAAATATCCAATTTTTTACCATAATTGTTTTTCATAAAATTACCACACCTGAATGGACTATCATTACACATCAATATCAAATTTGCATCTCATTTTGTATACTTACAAGTATTATTTAAAAAAATGTATATTTTTCAAACTCATCTTTTTGACGGTCGCACCTTGGTGCAAGCCGTTTAGCCCTTTCCTGTCACTATTTTGACTGCAGACAAGTAAAAATGAATAGATAATAGATCAATCTTAAATGACTATGGGTCAATTCATAGTAAGCTACCACAACATAGGTTTAGCCTAACTAAGCCACTTTTTAGCAATTTGGCACACACTAAACCTATAACTATGATTCTGCCTTTAAAGTTCCCTTTACCAAAAGTTGTTTAGGCCTACTACTCTCTTTTAACCATTTATATTTTAAATAAATTACTAAAACTAAAACTAAAGCATTCATTTATCCGATGTCCTCTATGCCTGATTCCCATCTGTCGAAAAATTGAATCCGGAATGCCAGTTATCTGAGCATGCGAATTCAGCTTTGCAAGCATTGTACCATCATCTATTACAAGTACTTTCACACGGAGGTACGTTTTTGAATCCATCATTTGACGGTAGTAATTTTGATGTGGACAATGACATAGAAAAAAGCTAAAAAAAAGCTAAAAAATATGCGCGTCGCTAGGATTGGCCGATTTCAATTCTTCAGGATTTATTTTACATATTCTCAATATATGCACGGAGTTTTATTAAATGACCTATGACAATACTATTCAACTTTAAAAAATATAGACCGATGAGCAGGTATTATATCGACTGGGCTCGGTGACACCTTGGCATACATAGAATACCCCATTGGCAACTTCGTCATACATGTATTAAGTAATCCGAATCTGAATATGAGCAATTACCAATCATGAAGCCTATTCCTAATAAGAACACAAACCCAACTGCAAACTTGATAATCATCCTCGCTTACCGAAGACTTTTCCATCGTTTCGAATATTTCAAGACGTTATTGGCTTGTGCCGTTATAAAATGACATCTATTTTACACTAAATGATGAACATGAACGTTCTGTGTCATCAACGATGACTAAAAAGTTCAAATAATTTTATATTGCATTGAATATTAGCTGTAAGCGGTACAGATATAATGTTGCCATTGCACTCTAGGTCGTAAAATTGTCGTGTAAACACCTTTGCTTGTATTGTTTGCGCACACATCTTAGAGAGTGAATATAATTTTAAAAAACTTACATTCTGGGCATCTATACAATTATTCAAACATTAACAATGAAGATATTATATTCACTAGTGGTGCCAACGTAGCCAGGGCTGTCGCGGTTGTTATTGTACATATGATTTAAAATCAGATCTTGTGTAGTCAACTTTTCAATCATGTATAGATGTCACAGCTGGTATGCCTCTTGGTCTTAAAATACTCAACTCCCTTATTTGGGAAACACTGTCGCATTGATAAAAAATTGTTGACCTTTAACACATGCATCATATTTATAAATTAATCCATTTGATTTTTTACATTATAGCTAGCAAACTCAATTTTTCATATTATATGAGTTATGCCAACTCATGGTTTACAAGAGCCTGCACTTTGGCACACTCCCCTCTAAAAGTATGGCAACCTTAGCTCCCTCATTGAACTACGTGTTAAAGCCTCTTCATGTTTGAATTTTTATTTACATAACCTGCAAGGAAAAGGCTTAAAATATTGATGGGGATGTAATTTGTTTTCATTTCTCAATTATTTTTCCTCAATCACAATTCGAAAATTGATGATAAATGTGATGAATGTTTGAAAATAGTCATTCCCATGTAAACCAATGGCAATTGATGGGTTCGGGGCGAAAGTTGCCAAACTTTTGGAGGGGAGTGTATATCCCAGTATGGTAACAATTACTTTAAAAATGAAAAATCTGACGCAATTTATTAGAGATAACTTTATCGGAATGTATTAAAAATAGCTATTAACATTTTAAATGTATTTTAGTGTCGAAATACCATGTCATTTCCTCAGTCAAATATTGTATGTGATTTGTAAGGTGAGCAATATATAGTCTCATGGCTCAATCGAAACATGTGTACGTGACACACACAAAAACTTCAAAACTTTGACACTATCATTCCATAACTCATCACATTTTTCTGTGTTTTTTTACTAGAAAAGAAATGATAGAAGGTCATGGTTTCTCATGATAATTTATTATCGGATAGTTGGTTAAAGCCTGTTCACTGTTCAGTGTTGTTTTTAGATTCCATCAGGTCGAAAATGTATGACAAATGTGCATGATATTACTCCAATGCAAACATTAACAAGCGTTGTCTAATACGGGTATTGGTGTTGCGAAACCTTTTGTGGGGACTGTGTTAAAGGTTTGCGTGTTTAGTTTTACACGAAATCATTGCATAAACTATAATTAGACACAATTATAGAATTGGAATATACAGAGGTTTCGTTGGCACACATTTCTTTTTCATTGCCTCATCGCGTTTACTTTTAACAAGTTTGACTTCACTATGTTTCCAAACTGTCTTAAAGTGAGCACATTTTCTCATCCAACCTACTTGTTTTTCTTTCACAGACTCACTGTATAACCGTTTGTTTCTATCATTCATGATTTTGTAGTTTTTGTCCCGTTTTTTCGGGACCCCATCTTGATGAACAATTAAAAGACTTTCTGTAACGTCGATTATAGGAATATCTGCTTTTTGACCAAATATCATTAACCAGCTATCGAAGCCCGGTAATGATATGACGTAATCGGGAATTGTGGACCATGGAAAACTATCTTTAGTTGATATAAATATGTCATAAGATCCAACATCAGGGTGCCGTTTTCCTATTGCTTCTAACTGTTCCATCGCGTTGTCGTTGAACTCTGTGAGATTACGTATTGTACCATTGTTATAAAAATCTACGTTTACTCTCATACCAAGAATCAAGAATTTTGATATCCGTTCTGATTCAACAAATTTTGTAATTGTATTTAGTGATGAAATGATATCTTTGCCATGATAAAGTATATCACCATTCATAAAGCCGTAATATTTAGAATTGTATCGGGTAAACGCGTCAAGGAAAAGCTCCTTCAATATAGGTCTGCCTTCCTCCGTTAGTTTATCCGTAAGCTTAACAGTTTTCATGCCTTTAGCTTGGCACTGTTCGATCTGTATATCTGACGATAAATACACTACAGGTACAACTCCCGTTTGCCCAAATTGATACATCCAATTTTGCATAGTGTAGTTTTGTATTGCATATCTTGTCTCTTCTCGGTCTGAAAACGTTGTAAATAATGTAAGGAGTGTTTCTTCTCCCTTGTCGAAACCAAGCTTTAATTTACGTGCACCTTTCCATTTTTGCATGTATTCCAAATCATTATTCACATCTGTATTCGTACCAACTGTATAAGTTGTATAATGCAGAACGACAAATAATGTAAACACGCATAAGATAGACGGAACGATAATTCCAAGTCTAGTCAACAACCGTATCTGTCTACGGCTGAACTGTTTCCCGACTCCTTGTATTTTCCGATGCAAATAATAATCCATCATGTTTACTTTCATTAATAATATATTTGATATACGTTGTAACCTTCGATATACAATAGGTATAATACAACAACTATAGGTATTCCTCCAAATACTCTTAAATCCTAGGGGTAATATTGGTCTTTGGTCAGCTTCCAATTCGTGGTTCATTAGGCCTAAACCATTAGCAGTCCTCGCCTGTTACGTAATAGCCGGTGGGCTAGTAATTAGAAGATAAATTAATAATGGATCTCGAGAATCAATGATCGTCCTAGAGCACGTGGACGACGAGTCGTTTAATAATGTTCACTTCAAAAATAACGCATGTTCAACCCAAATATCCATTGATGTATTTCAGTTTTGTAAATCGAACTCGGAAAACGGGAATGTCTATATACATAGCACCTTCATAATCTTTTTAGAACTTACGTCCTACTGTTTAAATACGTTTTTGAATATATTGATTTGCGTTTCGTCTCCATTAAAATACATTTCCCTTTTCTTCAACCTAAATTTTCCTCATTTGTAATTTGTAAATTTCCTCTATGGATACATGTATACTGACAGTGAAATCGGAAAGCGCATCGTTCAGTCTCCATAGCTACGTACATTATCAGTTCAATAGAGGTTTAGTATTATACTGGACTAACCGCCGCTGACCTGAAACGGTCGTAAAGGATAAAAAGCCTCGCCCTCGTATCATATCATAAATATTGCTTTATGTGTTTACTTATTTTAAACAAACGGTAATGAAATGAATATACAGTATAGTATAGTACTTTTAAAGGGTATAAACATACAAGTCAGTGGTTTACATTGGCATTTCTCCTACTAAGACCAACTGTGTAGTTTCAACATTTTTTATTGGTTACTGAAAACACTAATGAAATATATAAGGGCTGGTGTTATTCAGTCCACTCCAGTGGGGATTGAATCTACGACCCCTTATAACACTGTATGTACAGTGATCACCTACTATTAAAAGTGCGTGATCAGAGACTCGACAAGATGCGCAAAATTCAAAATGTCAGAGGAAAGGTAATGTATGTTACGTACTTGATACCCGACGCTCTGATATTTTCATTGACAGTAGTGTTTAATTTTACAAATGTATCTGTGTATGGTATGTAAACTGACTCCAGAAACTTAACAGCATTTAATTTTTTAAATTGAATGCCCAGGTCATGATGATGAACGTATAGAAATACTGAACATCTTCAAAATTTATTTCCAAATCATTGAATTATTATATTTTGCCGCTTTTAATGGCTAAAAATCGCTCATAAAAACACTTCAGAAAAAATTATCAAAAACTGATTTTGTCTTTTTAATCCTTTATTTATTCTATCTGGCAATCTGTTTTAAATCAATGTATTCGGTCGTGTCTTTAAAAGACGCGTTGATAAAAATAAGTCTCATCGATCAATTCAACTTTATGGGGAAGGTGCATACAGACCCCCCCCCCCTCCCCCCCCCTCTTAACCGTCGTTTGTGAGAGCCACTTTGGAAAGATCAAGACAAAGGGACGCGATTGTCGAGATGGGGGGTGAAACGCCCCCACCCCTTGTGTTTTAATGACGTTACTTTCGTTGCAGCGACAAATGTTCTCGAATTTTCAACCACCTTTAGCCATAGATACTAGGTCACACTTTTTGTAAGGCGGTTTTGTGTCGAGGATACAATGGTGCAAACTTCAAACTCGAGGACTTCAGGTAAATCGAAATGTGAACAAAGAGTGTCGACGCACTTTTAAAGATAATATGTTTTATAAGAAACAAGTACAAGTTAACAAGGCATTAACATGCAAAGTGTCACTACCTGCCATTTGTTACAGTCGCCGACGGTCGAACTCCGTTACAGACTCCAAATGCTGTTACAGACGCCGAACAGCAACAGCCGAACACTATACACAAAGAGGTTGGACACTTTAACGATATGTCACCACTTCTGGTGGTAACATAATAAAAGAACACATATTCAGATTGTTCATGCGGATCATCTTGTAAAGAAAGGAACATTTGGTTCATATTCATATAGCGAACAAGATCAGTCACTCTTTCGAAATTAGAAACTATCCATGGAATATTCAAAACAATGGTAACAGTGTAAAGCTTGCTGTTCTTGGCTAGGTGTTTCAATTTATCATTTCGCAGTGTATAGTTACAATTATTAATAGAGATTTTTGATGGGATGGAACGAATGTTTTCATATTATCCGAAGGGAATTAATCCGAGTATTATTAACCATTATTCACTATGTCAGTTTTGAGCCACAATAAGTTCTTGTAGCTAATTGTAAAGTGAAAAAAAAAGATATTGTACTATAAAAATACGCACATGTACCAATATAGCGTCACAAACTCTGACGACATCTATTAATAATCGTAACTTTCTTTCTATGAGAACTCGGCATTAGGCTTGTAAACGGCAAAATGAGTTTGAATACGGGATTGAATACGGGATATGGGATTTTGCCTCATACGGGGTTGAATGCAGGATTAATTAAGGGCTTTTCAATTATGGATTTTCTTTTAATGGTATATCTCATGGAAACGTGGTATTCATGATATAACATAACATAAGAAATATATAAATGTTTTTTACAGAAAAATAGTGCAATAATTTAAATTTGGCATTGTTATACATGTACATGTACATTATACAAGTCCCATAATTCTACGATTCAAATTGTGATGTAGCAGTAGTAGATATATAAATACTACGCAGGTAAAAAGTGCAAATCTCTTAAAATCTCATGAAAAACGAGAATAAGCGAGATTTCAAAGCTATTTAGAAACTACTCTTTTTGTGTATTGTTATAGCAGCTATCTATGACTTCTTTGTTATTGTGCTAGTATCTCCAGTATCACTATCTGTTCCAAGTGAGAATTCCCCTTTATAGCTCGATTCTTCATCAGAGTCTGCGTCTCCGAACGCTACAGCGTTGATCTTGTCGATAAATCTCTGCGTTATTACTTTACTGTCTCTAGTAAGGTTGAACTCAGCAGCTTGTTCCTTGTTTAGGTTATACTTATCTCCAGGGTTGTTTTTCCTGTATCTACTGTACATTAACGAACCCATACTCTTCGGTTTCAATAATGATTTGTCCTCTTTCAATTCTTTAAGGCGTTTCTCTTTTCGAATTTTTCGTTTTTTCTCTCGAAGTTCTCGTTTATTTTCTTCTTCCATGCCATCAAGTTTGGCTTTCCTAGCTGCGATGTCTATGAAGGTTTTGTCTAGTTTTGCCATTAGCGCGTCTGTGGTTGTAGCTGCGTTGTTAAGACGCGCTAATGTGTTATCAAGCTGAGATGTTGTCGATTCAGTAGTACTCTCTTTTATACTTTCTTTCTCAGCTTTCATCTTCTCTAGCTCGTCATTCGATTTCTCTTTGTTAATTTGAGCTAATTTTGACCATCTATCTTTAGCCCCTGATTGTCCTAGCTTCAATTTCATGGCGTCCATCTTTTTACGCAGCTCTTCGTCTTCTTTCGCAAGTTCATCATTCCAACCTGTTAAATCTGACCGGGCTTTTTCAAATTGGCTAGGTTCATTAGGTTTAGTTGTCGCAGGAGGCGGTACAGGAGAGGGAGTTGGAGGTACTTCGGTCATTTGCCTAATCAACTTTCGAGACTCATCATCTAGTTCTTCATCCTCTTCTTCATAGTCATCATCGGCTTCATCATCATCATAGCGGCTTCTTGTGTACTTTGTGCTCGATGTCCAGACACTTTGACGTCTAGTGGGACTTGATTCATAGTAACTTGTGTATTCAGTTGTCCACTCATAACTCGTCTCCACTGGATCCATGGTAGGAACAAACAGATGTAATTCATGGAATATTGACTTATCTAAGTAGAACTCAAGGCGTGGTTTGGGCCCCGTCATTGGGATACCCTGCCACGGAGCAAGATTATTGAACGCTTGCATGGTTTCTATGGCAGCAAGGTCATCGTCACCTGTTTGCTCAAGATATGAGTTGTAAAATTCATCCGCGGTCATCTGTGACGCTTGAAGTTGGTGTCTCTGAAACGTGGCGTTCATTTCGTGTAAACGTCTTTGGACGGCAAAATTTAAATCATCCTTCGCTGCAGTTAAACGTTTGTAAGTAGGGGAAAAACTACGCTGGTGGAAACCGTGTTTAGATGGATATTTAATGTTAGAAGGGTATTGTTTATCCGTAACATCGAGGTTCGGAAGTTTTATTTGGTCTGGTGCTTTTAAGATATCCCCGTATAGATTCTGGAATGAATTGTAGGACTGGAGAAAGGGCAAAACCTTTGCCACTCCCTGCAACTCGTTGTCAACACTCTCCACATTAACATGAATTCTTTTAGATTCTTTTGGTCGTTTCACTCTCTTTTTTCTTTGTTTTCTTACTTCGTTCCTCTCCATTATGATATTGGGCAGCCTTTTTGGTTCACGGAAGCGAAGCTTCTGACTTCCATGCTGGCCGGATTTCTGTGACGCCTGCTTACTTTTCCTTGAGCTCTGAGAATCATTATCTGGAATCAGCATGAGCTCGTCCAAACTAGCGCCACTTGTATATTTCTTTCTGAAAACATGAATTTTAATGTTTAATTCACTCTGTCGCAAAAATAAATTAAATTTTTGCTTTACCCTGTGATTTCATTTTTACATTTGAATAGGATTTACTTTACCATTTAAGAATAATATGAACTGTGTTAGAATATAAGAAACTTACGAGCTGTTTAATATTACGTTAATTCATGTACTAGTATCTAGAGTTTATCATAGATGAATGTATTCGGATTAGCCATCTGGGCATACGATTGTACGTAGCAACTTTAGTTAATTTAAAATATAGTAAAGTAGTCATTAGTACATGTCGTAAGCATCTCTGTGATGCACAAGGTAGGCTGTTCGTAAAGCTGAGACAACTTTAGTCCTATTTTGATTAACTCTGGTCCTACCTTAAAGACCACACTCTTACCTAGTTAACGCTATCTTACCTTAATTTCAGTTTGAGGCGCGCTTCAAGTTCTGATCTAGTAAGGCAGAGTTGTGGGAAGCGAGAACCATTATCTGCATGAACTTCTTTGATGTCAACAAAGTCATATATTTGTTCATTCCCCTTTGTCAAAGTAGCCTTTAGTAGCTCAGCTGGTATGGGTCGTGAGGAGTGGAACTTGGCCAGTTTCGAAAATCTTAACTCTGTTTTATCATGCAACCCTCGTATCCTCTTACCCTGTCGGCTCTGTCGCTGTCTCATCTCAAGCCCTCCAAGGTCATAGTTAAAGCAGGTGCTCATGGACATCGGTACCTTCGTTTTGGGCAATTGTTTTGCCGTATTTACAGCTGCCATGTTGATAATGTCAAGCTTGATTACCAATCCATAGTACTTTTTACTACTGATACGCCTGATTTGAATCAGTTAGTCATTTCTGTTCCAAATATGTCAGTTTAACAAACATTTACGTCGGTCTCTGGGCGCACTTCTGGCGTGAGTCCAGTCGTTGTTTTTTATCTGCTTTTTTAATGAATTTTGATTTTGAGATATCCATGGTCCGTGATTGTTAGAATACTCTTATACTATCAAACAGCAGGCTATATCAACACGTATAGCAACATTGTATATATTTGCCGTCATTTCTTACACAAGTAAATGGATTATCAGATTACAAGTGTTGGTTTGTTCGGCTTAAATATATTGAGGATAATCGTGTAAATTTCGCGTTAATAAAATCGTCGAGATCAATGATAGCTCAATTCAACTCGCATTGTTGTCGTTAAGGAAATATGGATTAACGTTGGATTATCTATGTTCTTAACAATATGATGTGCCACTGACGGGCCTGAGCTAATGAAGCGGTAGCTAAAAATGCATTTGATTCATTAGAACTTAGAACACTTTGATTTATGCCCATTATATGAAGTAAACATAACGTCTAATGACACACTATTCAATGATTTATATTTATTTTCGCATACTTTATATCGGTAGCACATAATGAAATTCAATAAACTACAAACAAGGCATTAACTTGCAAAATGTCACCACCTGCCATTTGTTACAGACGCCGAACGCCGAACACCAGCCGCCGTCCACAAAAATTGGACACCATGGCAATATGCCACCGCATGTTGTGATGACATAAAAACGACAAAATAGTTGAACTTTTTCAATTTCAGTTCACATCCCCCTGTGTATTAGAGACTTACATTCAATGTCAGAGAAAACGATCAGATTGCTTTTTTTCTTTGATTTACTAATATTTTGAATATAATATATTTTAAACAAAGAATGGGAATAAATTGAAAATACTATCATGTGTATTCTAGGGTATGTGCTCAGTTCGTTTAAACGCTTAGTGATCCCAATTATGTAAAGATAAGTATACATGTCTCTTAATATAGAGGGACCATGTGTCGAAGAACATATAATTAGTAACGAGAATGTGACCATTGTCTTATGATACGCAGAGATAACAGGTACAGTAAAACCTGTTTAATCCGAACCCCACCCGGGGACCGGACAAAAGTGTTCGATTCGGCAGTTGTTCTCAATTCAAGGTTTTTTGATATTGAAGGAAATGGGAGATTAAACATTGGACCGAAAAGCGTTCCAATTGAGAGGTGTTTAAATTAATGAGGTGTTCGGATATACAGGTTTTACTGTAGATGAACAAACACAAACAGTGTGTTGTATTATACACGTACATATATACCGTGTTATGGAGAATAATCTGAACTTTATTTGGTATCAGTGACCACCTACAGGATGAGCAAGAGGCTTGCAATCATAGTGTGCTTTTTACACGTGATTGGAGCTTGTCTGGGGCATCTGTGTATCATATCCCCCAGACAGAGGGGAGCGTTTGATATTAGTAAGGTAAGAACTTGATAGAGGAGTGCTATGCCTACATACAATAGTACAGACTGTGGTTCCTGATTCACCAAATTTAAAATGAATGGGTCATTCTTGGCTTGGATTTTGAAAAACTTCACGATTGCGTTCTTTTCATTTGAAGTTTTGATCAAGCGAAAAGCCATTATTAAAACACGAATAATTCAAATTCTTATCATACCTGATATATCAATATATAGGTACTAAATTTTTGAAGTGATAAAAACAATAGTTGGTGTCTTCTATTTTTAATGAAAGGTAATTCATTTTCAGTCTAGCAATGGTGTTCAAAAGTTAAATGTTGTGGAAAGTTATTCATTGATTCAGTGTTTTTTCTGCAGGGTGGAAGCAGTACGTGTTTCCGTCACGGGGCGCCATGTGGGGGTCAGGCTCCAACGAAACCAAGGGTCACATATTTTGGCGGGAAAACGGCATTTATAAAATGGCAGCAGAACTTCAACCACTATACAGTGGGATTTCCAGGTACAGAATTTGCTTTACATGCTCCTTCGAAATGTTTTTACTAAGTAAAATTGGTTAAAGACGAGCATGAACCTCTATAATCCTACCAATTGAGTAAATTATCAACCAAGCGACGTAGGCCAAAGTCCAGTTAAGTTTTGAAATTAAAGCAAAATCCGCTGAAACATTTTATAGGTTTTATGGACGTGGCATTGGGGATCGACGAGAAAGATCCAAACAACTTCACGGTTCTTGCTGTCGTACAAGATGACAACTTTCATGCACAAGATCATCAACAAAATTACACAGCAGCCGTAGTAAGAACACAGATTGATATTTAAGGATTTAATCCCTGGACTCATGCATTGTGGGCTGATCATCATTTCACAATTAAAGGTGTTGTTTCAAACTTTGCACGAATGCGTAGCCATAGTACAGTAATGATAACGCGAGTTTATATCTCTAGATCTTTTATTCATAACATCTATTTGTGCAAAGAATTGTAAAATTGTATGTGTCTCTGCTTTGTCATAAATATTGTACTTTGTTATTTTAGGTGCTCCCAAACATCGATTGCAGTCATTGTGTATTGCGCATGCGCTATCAATCTCACAAACCTGGGGAAACTATCTTCTATCAGTGCGCTGACATCTCAATCAAGAAAACACCAAATAGTGAACATGCACATTCGAAAGAGAATACAATTCCTGATGATGTAATTGCTCCTCCCATCAAAAAAGCGCAACAGTTGATTGATAATCATCCAGCTATGATAACACCGACGTTTTATGGGTATGCATTTAATAAATTCGATCCTGATGTATGTCACTATGTGCAATTAAACTGGCCAAATCTCTATGTTAAACCAATCATATCAATCCCTTTTGGGATATCAAGTCAGCTGAACATTCAGCCACCGAAGATGGAGTTTAATTCAGAGTCTCAAACGTGGCACAATAGAAGACTTAAGAGAACGCCAGAAACAATGCTATCCAAAATGGTTGACAATTATATAAAGAACAATGCGCCCGAACCCCATGCTTACTTGGTAGACCAGGTCATGGTTACCGATACAAAATGGGGCCCAGGCGGACGGCTGAACGTCACCGTACTCATAAGACATGATGGCAATCTGGATGACCCGACTGTTACAATGTACGTGGTTGGGGCCTGGAATGGATCCCTCGTGAGGGAGGGTCCTATTATTGGACGACCAGACAATGTTCCTATAAGTGCGCTACAATTGCAGTATCCCGGAGTCTACCTTCAGTTGATAATAATCGATGCTCCCAACAAACCAGGCAAGTAATGATTTCTGTAGTGAAGGGAAATAGTGTTAATCACTTTAGCCCCCTCCACCTCCAAAAATTTGCCAACCTTGACTCCCAGGTTTGATAGCTAGAGTATGTTGCATATTGTACTATGTGTGACAAGTACAAAAGGTTGATAACAAAAGTGATGATTTCTCTAACACACGTGAGCGCAAAGAAGTGACAACCAATGCAATGATTCCACATCTGACACCAATTTACACAGATTATAACCCATAGTGCCCTACGGAAAAACTTGAAAACATATTCACTTCAAAGACCTGTACATGTCGTCACATATGTTTAATCAACAAATATTTAATGTACATTGTTCTGTCTTGTTCTATGTATTTTATTTTTGTGGATGATTTTCAGGTTTTTACATATTCAAAGTTGGACATTTCTTCCTGGACTCTGAATATTTGGGCGACCTTGCAACATCAGAGTCCGAGGACACGTACGTTAACTTCCAATGGAGTACCTTTGATCCCAACAAGCAATTGTTCTACGCCTTGATGGGAAACGAGAACTCGCCAGATGAGCTTGATGCTAGAATTTACACATTTGATCTCAATCATAAGTAAGCAATATATGCTGCTGCTCGATTGCAAGCTTTGGTTTTAGATTGTTGAAACTACGTACATGTAGTAGATATCCAAAGCCCCGGGTACAAAGCAAATCATAAATTCATGGAAACACGATGCGTAATCAGTCTTTGTCCTCTCAGTGTAATTTTGTTTCATTTATGATATTGATAGAATAGTCATGCCCTTAGTCAAGGGGTTCAGTTTTCAAGTGATTTGGGGTCAAGGTTGTCAAATGTGACCCCCCCTCGAATCAGCGATAAGACTGATGCCTTCCTCTTATTTGCATTCTCCTAGTAAGGTGACATACAAGCAGTTGGATGTCTCTACATACACAATCCAAGCTGCCCAGCTCTACCAGGAGACCGGCCAATTGCTAGCTCTCTCCCCTGGACTCTTCAAGCAGAACATGAATCCAGCCTGGGCGCTTGTAGAAGTGGACCCACTAACTGGCAAGATCACTAAACTATTTGATGTAACACCAGCGGGTATGTGAGGTTATCGACGAATAATTTTCCTCGAAATAAACCCCCACTGGCTCGAAAAATTATTGTTCCCTATTACCACCATCATCAAAAATCAATATTCTTTATTGAGGTCCGTGGGCGTTTTCTTGGTAGCTTTCAAATAGACGCCCGTGTGAAATAAACGACTGCGTGTGTAAGTAAGAAACTCCGGTAATAATATCGTGCCTAATTTTAATTAATAAGATTTATGATTTATTATTTTCGTATAACTTTATTAAGAGTCTGGCCTTAAAATCATTTTAATAAACCAACATTATCTTACTTTATGTTCTTAGATTCTCAAATAACGTTTTTAAAACACAAGTGCTGGAACAATGTTGTTATGAAATATGTTTCAGGTATATTTTCCAAATACTATGGTGGTACAATAATCAATGGAGTAAACGATGGGATATTCTATTATAAGCTGAGTGTGGCAGACACCCATGCATCAGTTATTGTATCAGTAGACATTAAAACAGGGGATGTGGCTTACTCAAACATGGCAAATCTGGAACACATTCACAATTTAGCCATTATAGAGCCATAATATGATCTAGAAAGTGGCATTTTGCATTCTGAATGAGAGCAAGCATTGCAGATACAATGAGAAGAATATTACATACAAGGCATTGACATGCAGCACGTCACTACCTGCCATTTGTTACAGACGCCGAACACCAACTACAAAAACACAGGCCACAAAAAAAGTTTGAGACAATTATAATATGTCACCACCAATGACATTTCAAATCCTCTGTCCACAATTTATGATTAGAAATGAGACAGGATTAGAATATTCTTTAATTATCAACATAAGAGGTAGACTCCAGCACAGTACATGCATTTTAGCAAAGGTATAACAATATCCTGACTGTGTATATAAATAAGTACATATTGTATTTCATATCATTATAAAATAAGAAACAGTAAAATAATGTATGCATCTAAAATATTTATTCTACCAGAGTGAAACAAATACATGTCAAGATGAACAATCATCTATTTTACTTCATCTGTTTAGCTGCCATATGAAGTTAATTGTACATTTTACAAAAACGTCCTCCAAACCACTGTGATAAACGAGACATTGGCACAAAATCACAGGCCCGGGAATAAGATTTAAATCCCCCCCCCACTCACTGTATAATGTAGGAGAAAAAAGACCTAATACATAGTGAGTGGGAGGGGGATGAACTCTTGTTCCCGTGTCTGTGCACAAAATAATTTTGGCAAAAATAAAGACTAGATAACAATTATACTTAATCAAATAGATTATGTCTTCAGAAAAATTGATTTGTATTTTATCACAATGATTTAAAAAGAGGTCCTTGTGCCCCTAAGTATACTTGCCAATCAGAATGCAGAACCCAACTTGGTTATAGACGTAGACAGGTTTTAAATACTTGGAACATACTGTAAATAGACGTTACTAGTCCCAGGTTACTAGTCTAGCTATTAGACTCTGTAACCTCCCCCCCCCATTCTACTTGACTACCCACCTTCTTATACAGTGTTGGCTTGTAGTTAGACTAAGAATTCACATCTAATTTGTCCATAGTCTAGCTAGCTCCAAGCCTTTGCACCCCCTGCTACACACCTCCCAACAAATATTTGTGTGAGAAGTTTTCATGTCTGTGTAAGCAAGTAGTGGGAAGGGGTGGGTGTCCACAAAGCCTTATAAAATATCACCAAGAAGCAAGCAAGCACAATATCATTCATTTTCTTCCAAATTCCATGGGGGTTCAATTTTGATGACATAGGCCCAAAAATGGCCAAAATCAATTGAAAAGTAGGTGAAAAACTGCATGATTTTGGAAGGATTTTTGGCCAGGGTGGCCTGAACCCTCCCCCCCCCCCGGCTACAGGCCTCGAAACACACGCTACATCTTAAATACCACCACCACCTATTCCAGATATATATGTGATAGATCATCTAAAAGCTTTGAATACATTTAATTTTGCCTATTCTGCAAAATATATCGTATAGAATATCAGATCATATTAATCGATTAGATTATAATGCAATATCACTAGAAATTATCTAATATGGGATTCATCACTTGATTATCATTGGTTTGTTCAAAATAAATTATCTAACCTGTTTTCCATTTTTTTTAAATGGATACACTGTAAATGGCACTTTTATTGATTTCATGATCGTTTCAATATCAGAAATATTACTGGTTGTCGTTGATATCAAATACAGATAACACAATAATCATGAGATAAAAAAATAGTCTTGAATCAAGTTTCTGGACCACCTGTCCACCTCATCTCCTCACAAGGGCTTGAATCAAGACTATAAACAATATACCTCAAGAAAATATCAATATTGTAAAGTTGTGTTATAATTCACACCTAGCACATTTCCCTGTACTACAAAATGTACATTTTTGTATGACACAGTCTAAAGTTGATAAATGTAATACTTATACGAGATAATAACACACAAATGCTACAAAAGGCATTTGCCACTTGTAGCTTTTACATTTACATTCACATCGTGTTTTCCAAATATACACCAACTGTGTATTTCTTCTATAAATAAATAGAAACATAGCTGCCATATGATTTGTAGCATATCATAAGAAATATCTGAATTCTGAACTAAAATTGTTCATACAATGAACCCTTCACCACCAACATTTTTCACTTGTCACCTATTCTTCATCCAGTTTTTGTTGAGACCTTAACTAGGGTATATACAGCGTACATGTACTAACTGTCTTCCTTGTCTTTATTGTCCATTTTCAATAGCACCTCCCCTGAAAAATAAAAATAAATATGAATGCCTCATTCAATGAATGCCTCATTCAATATTTCTCGTTTACATGTAGAAACAATTATTAGACAATGACAATGCCTGGGCAGTACAAAAAAGCATATTACCCACAATTCAAAGCACTTCAGTAAAAGTATGGTAAGTAAATGATGGCAAACATAATGTAATATGAACAGGATCCAACTGACCACAATGAATAAGGTTCAATAAGGTACCATAAGCTAAAGATTCACATGTGTAGTGCATGAAAAATGGATGATTCAATGACATTCAATTGAATGAAGTTGCATTTCTTTTCAATTACCATGAGAGTGGCAAATAATCTGGAAAATAAGCTAGTCAAATTACCTAGGCAGTATGCTTAGCATGCTTGGCAGGTTTTGTTGGTCCATCTATTGCTCCATCCCTGCAACCATGATTTAATGCACCCATGTCATAATGCAACCATATGATACATTCAATCAATGAGTCATATAATAATGCAATCATATGATACATTAGGGCAACCAAATGGTAATGCATCAATCTGAGACATTAATGCAACTATTTGATAATGCAACCATATGAAACATTCATTCAAACATTCATATGATAATGAAACCATATGATACATTAATGCAGCTATATGATAAAGCAACCATATGAAACATTCATTCAAACATTCATATGATAATGAAACCATATGATACATTAATGCAGCTATATGATAATGCAACCATATGAAACATTCATTCAAACATTCATATGATAATGCAACCATATGATACAATCATTCAAGCATTCATATGATAATGAAACCATATGATACATTAATGCAGCTATATGATAATGCAACCATATGAAACTTTCATTCAAGCATTCATATGATAATGCAACCATATGATACAATCATTCAAGCATTCATATGATAATGCAATCATATGATACAATCATTCAAGCATTCATATGATAATGAAACCATATGATACATTAATGCAGCTATATGATAATGCAACCATATGAAACATTCATTCAAACATTCATATGATAATGAAACCATATGATACATTAATGCAGCTATATGATAAAGCAACCATATGAAACATTCATTCAAACATTCATATGATAATGAAACCATATGATACATTAATGCAGCTATATGATAAAGCAACCATATGAAACTTTCATTCAAGCATTCATATGATAATGCAACCATATGATACAATCATTCAAGCATTCATATGATAATGAAACCATATGATACATTAATGCAACTATATGATAAAGCAACCATTATGATATGAAACTTTCATTCAAGCATTCATATGATAATGCAACCATATGATACAATCATTCAAGCATTCATATGATAATGCAATCATATGATACAATCATTCAAGCATTCATATGATAATGCAACCATATGATACAATCATTCAAGCATTCATATGAAAATGCAACCATATGATACATTAATGCAACTATATGATAATATGCAACCATATGATACATTAATGCAACTATGTGATAATGCAACCATATGATACATTAATGCAGCTTCATGATAATGCAACCATATGAAACTTTCATTAAAGCATTCATATGATAATGCAACCATACGATACATAAGAACAGCCATTTTAAAAAGCAACCAAAAGATAATGTAACCATATGATACAACAAACATATGATATACCATGATTATACAGATATATAAACAAATAGTAATTTTGAAAAACATGAATTAATGCAACCATATCTTAGACACATTAACAGTAATTCAAAACGCAAACAAGCAAATAAAAATAATGCAAACATAAAATGAAGTCAACATGAGAAATTAAGTCAACATGAAATAAAAATTGTTAACATTGAACGTGGTAGAAGCTTAAATAGACTAGTGCTTTAACAAAATGAAGCTCAGTAAAGTTCAATTTATTTTTGATGAACAAATGTGACTGTTTTTTATGATTTTTTATTCATATGATATAATACATTTTTATATGGATGTATACCTTGCTATGTACATTGTGCTTGTACATCATCATTCCAACAATAAGTTAAAATCTGTTCTGCTGATATGAATTTACAAACTGATTTGTAAAACTATTAATATAAAGAATCTCACTTTAAACTTTCAGGTTTCCAGTTGGGGTCAAAGTTCTTCTTCAAGGGCCCCCAACATTTGTAGTATTGCTTGTCCACTTTTTCACATGTCTCATTCCCCCACTTTGTAACTGCCATGCTGAGTGATGACTCAAACATGAATGCCTGAAATGACATGTACCTAAACTTGTGAATGCCTGAAATGACATGTACCTAGACTTGTCACATGTCCTGAATTATAGTAAAACCTGTGTATGTGGAACACCTCTGTAAATGGAACACCTCACAAGTGGAACCATGTTTTTAAAGTCCCATGAACCTCTGTATATGTAAATGGAAACGCTCCCAAGTGGAACACTTTTTAGTGGTCCCAGGGGTGTTCTACTTACACAAGGTCTACTGTTCTGTAAATGAAGACTAGTTTCAAACTTTTCAGAATTACAGTAAAACCTGTGTATATGGAATGCCTTGGTACTTCATAATAGTGTTCAACTTAGGAGGTGTTCCACTTACAAAGGTTCATTTAACTTAATGGGTAACAGAACTTTGAAGTATTCCACTTAAGGAGGGGTTCCATTTTGAGGTCTTCTGTAATACTCATTACTATTACACATTTCTACAAGGCATTAACAAGACAAAATGTCACCACATAGTTGCTCACAATAATATCAGAACTTGAAGATGATTTTTAAAAAAGGTCCATTTGAAGCAAGTTGGCCTTTTTTACCTTGAGAAGGTCATTGGAGGTCAAATCAAAAATCAGGTTTGAACTTCTGAGAAGTTGAAGATAATTTTGAAAAAATATCAAATGCCACATCTATTTTCCATATGGCTGTTATTTTACTAAATTCTTTTAAGAAAAATATATAATACTATATGCCTTTCATCAGGTATACTAAAGTTCCAAATATCATACCATGGTGCCCTCTGCAACTCTCTGTGGCTTCAGCTCAGCAGTACTTGCCATATCAAAGCACTTTGCATCAGGGCCATGGGGTGTCATCATGCTGTGTAGAGTGGCGCCACCTGGCCTAAAGCCCTCTTCCTTAGCCTCATAGTTGCCATGAATTAGCCCCATGAACTCACTCATGCAGTTCCCTAGTGGCAACATAATGCGACTTTATATACACAGCTTTGGTTAACTTTGCAATGAAATATACATACATTGTTTGAATCACAGTGTCAGAATTTCAGACGGGTCATAATCAAAATGTCAGTATTTCAGAATTTGTGAAGTTTTTACTGTTTCAAATAAGGAATCAGTTTCTCATAGATGTCATTCGATGAAGCGAAATCATTTTAGGCTATTTTCTGTTTTACAACACAATAAATACTGTATAAGTGGTATTTTTCCTAATCATTTAATTAGCCTATTGCTTAATATGTGACAGGATCCCCTTTCTATTTCCCTATCATATAACAACCAAAAGCATTGATGTGGGAATAGTGATACTTTAAATGATAAATGTGTCTCACTGTGGTAGTAGGGGGGCCTGAATGTGTGGTCTGCCACCCCCCAGCGTGGGGGAAAGATGACAAAGTCTGCAATAGCAACCCCAGGTCTAACAGACTGACACGTCAACACTGTGAAGATAGAAGGGTCCTGAAGCAAAACAAAGAAAAGTACATGTATATAGATTCTTCTATTTATAGTATTTATCTATCATTTTATTTACAGTTTTTATATATTATTCATAACATGTGATGTATTCATTGTATTGGACTCATCCACCCATCCCTCTGTGACAGCTATCCAGCCTGGCAAGTAGTGATAAGCAGGCAAGGGGGGGGGGGTTAGATGGGAACCCCCCCAGCCAAAAAATCTTTCAAAATCGTGCAGTTTTTCACCATTCTGAGCACTTTTTAAGTGATTTTGGCCTTTTTTGGACGAAAATTGTCACAAGTGAACCTCTCCCTAGAATTTTTCAAAGTGCCCCCCCCCCTTAGTAAATCCTGTCTACGGACCTAACAAGCATGTTCAATCACTGAAGACTCGACTGTGTATTCAAATGAGGCACATAATATGATGTTAAATAATTCATATGAACAGGTAGGATAACTGATAATGAACTTACAGCATGGTCAAAGGACACTGCATTAATTGTCATGAAGTTGCTCAGATCATACTTGTATGGCACATAGTTACCGTGCCAACCAACAACATCAAAGGGAGAATGTCCTTGCTCACAAGAAAATAGTGCCCCTTGGTACTTGCTGATGATAACAAATTCTTCCTCACGATCTTCATACCAGGCAGTTGGATGGAGAAAATCTCTTGGATTAGCTAATCCATTGGCTCCTAGAACATAGGATACAATTTTAATATAAATTGCAAGGAGAATATAGAATACAAAGTGGATATGGGTTAATACAGGGCACGTATATATAGAATACAGGGTAAAAATAGAATACAGGGTGAATATAAAACACAGGGTGAATATTGAATAGAATACAGGGTGAATATAGAATACAAGGTGCACATGGAATACAGGGTGAATATAGAATACAAGGTGCACATGGAATACAGGGTGAATATACATGTAGAATACAAATCTAACATTGAGCACTTGTCAGTTTGTTCTAAGCCCAGTTTCCTTATTTTTCTTAAAAATCTGTGAATAATTATCATAGGAATCAGGTAGCAGTCATGTAGGTATCAATTATAATTGCTTACAGATTTTAATGACATACACATTTCTATGCAAATATCTCACCGATTGGTCCAAGATTTGGTAATATGAAGTGAGCATCAAAGACCTCTAGGATATACCCTCTACTAGGGCCCTCAACGTTGACAGAGAATCGTATCCCTTGCTGTATCACACAAATCTCATTCGGTGCAACGTGCATCTGACCAAACTCTGTGTAGATGTGGAGAGATCCTTGTTGTGGAACTGGAAAGTATACAGTGTTGTACATGTATGTAGAGTATTTCTAACACATGCATATACATGTAGCTATGGGTCGGATGTAACAGGTGTCGCGTCTTTATATGGAGGATCCACATTGCCCACAGGTCTATGTTAATGAAAATGTTTGAGAATTATTTGTCTGACATGTCAGGGGCTGATGTCTTTTAAACTGCCTAAAATGATACCATGTTTTTAAAACCCTGCAATTCCAATAGATGGATCTTATGTCAAAAGCGTATTGCATTTTACCACCTGGCATGTGATAATGAGCAATGGTAAGTGGTACAATAGAGCAATTGTTACAAAAATTAACATGGTTCGATTAGATTGCGACAACTGCATAAGGAAATATCATGGATAAATTCGTATCATTTTATTTCAATTTCATTTCATTAATTTACACTTAATGTACACCATGATGGTCCAAGTTCTATAGCACTTCTGAACAAGGCATTAACATGTAAAATGTGACCACCTGCTATTTGTAACAGATGCCAACCACCAAACACCAACAGCCAAACACAAACCACCGAACACCATCCACAAATAAGTTAGAGACTATAACAATATGTCACCACTTGTGATGGTGACATAAAAAAAAATTGTATTTAAGGTTTAAGGTTGAATGGTCACAGTTGATTGATGCAAAAAAAGTAGTCTTACCAATGAGAAAATCTCCATCAGAATTGTAGAAAGCCTTATTAGTCATAGATGTATTGCATGCATAGATGTGTATTCCTATCCCATGTCTGGAGCAGGGATCACCAGCACCACACACTGTGCTTATTCCAGACACAAAGTCTTGCTTCTCTGAGTCCTTCGGGATATCAAATGGATGCCATCTTAGCTAGAATATGAAGAAAATATCAAGAATTATAACTTGAAATTAACAATTAAAAAGTTACGACAATATTGCTTCATCAAGCTTCGAATCTGTCCTAAGATATAACAAAGTGATTGAGCGTCAACCAACAATGTGTTACAATAGAAAAATGTTTAAGCCAAAAAGCACAGTGTGCACAAACACAAGATGTTCCTATACATACAACACCAAAATAGACACATAATCAGTTAAAACTACAGTAAAACATGTGTATAGGAACACCTCTCTAATCTGAACACCTCTTAATGTGAACATTTCTTTGTCCCAATTTTCCCTAAGATTAGCATTATTCAAAAACCTTGATTTGTGAACACCTACCAATCCAAGCACTTTTGGCAGGTTTAAGTGACGATAAGATTAGACTAGTTTTACTGTACTTAGACAACTCTGCCAACTCTGTGATGTAAGATTAGATCATACAAAGTCAGCCTATCATGATAAAAAAGTGAGAAACGGGGATGTAAATAAGAAAGGAGAGGGCCACCTAATTTTCAAAAAGCATTGATTTACCTGGTTAGGGTTCGGATGGCAATCGACAAACTTGTTGGTAAAGTTACCACTAGGGAAGTTGGAGAATGGCTTGTGCTGAACTGATGGTCTGATCCTGTAGAGCCAGCTACAATAGAAACATATATGTTAATCATTGAAATGAATTTGTAAATGTTGTGGTACATTCAATAAAATCTAAAGAGATGAACTGGATAATGTTTCATATTATACAATGATTACAGCTTGCACTTAAAAACTATGTCATTAAAAAGGGACCAGAAAATTAAGTACTGAAATAAATAAACTGACTAACAAGTCCTGATATTTCAACTCATTGAAAAAACATAGTATGTATATTAGGGGTGGGTCGGGCCCCGCAGGCAGGTGCCCATGGGTATTGACCTCACGGCCAACCCGAGGACTGCCCGATCCACCCCCAATGTACATAGTATTCACCTTCGTTTGTTGCTTTCTCTTGGAGCAGTGAATGCACTTCCTGACAATTGCTCAGCATAGAGACCATATGGACATTTCTGGGGGTTGTTCTAAAAAATGTAGGTTGATACTGCATCTTAGACTCGTCTGCATTTTCATAATTATCTTAATAACAGGATGTATATGCACTTTTCATGTTTTTTTCATAAATACATGTACATGTATTGTCTAAGTGTCAACATCAACAGTATTCCTTCAAAGGTTTTAATAAATCATTTTTACAACATACACAAATGACAGTTTATTGTTCAGAGCATAGATATCAAAAAAATATTATTAGTTATATAACAATATCATCAAAAAAGACACATCTAGAATCAATAAATATACAAGAAGACAAGCGTTATTTTCAATGAATATAATTGTTTGATAGCTGGATATAAATTATAATCATTATATACCTGGCCTTTAGGAAGGACCCCAGGACATCTTGGATCTTCTGATTCAAATTCACTTCCAAAGCCTGGTAGATACTGTAACAAACAATTACATGCATAGCCTTTGGAAATTAGATTGCCCTGTATTTAGTGAATGTCATTGGAATGAGAGACTGATGATGGCTAAAAATAGTGACCACGGAGAAAGATATACATGTAACAGTGCTAAAATGGAGGTTATACATGTAGAAATGAGAGACTAGAGTGACTGAGATCTTAAAATACAGATTTTGGGTACAAAAGAGCTGAAATGAATACCGGAGATATCGATTGAGACGAAGATGATGGCCTTGAATATGAGTTGACAGTAATCAAAATTAAGATGACATGAGCCACAAATGGATCACAATATTGTAACATTGTAGGGTTTCTCATCCTAGGGAGTAAGGCTACTACAGCAGACAGTACATGTATATACTATTCTATGTATGTGATTGTGAGCCTAGGGCCTTAGGCCTACACTAAGCTTTCAGTAGAACAAGGAGGATAGACTTCCAGAGTTCCCGACCCGATATTCTACCATATATGAATCGGGAGCTTTGGTCTTATGTCCAAACAAAAACTATGCAAAACACACAAGAGGTGTTCAAGCATCAGATTCAATGTCACAATATTAGTCTTTTCTATTTGAATCCTTTGGATCCCTGATTATGAATTTATAGCCAGTTATAATCTCATTAAATATTTAACGACATTTTCATTGTTGTCGTCAAAACATTGCTTTATTATATACCCAATATGTAACACTAATCCTGATTGGTCAATACCTAGTCACGTGTCTGAAATAGATTTACTATTTCCCTTCGAAAGTTATATTCCCTCAAATGTAAAAAGCGGGAATATACATTTGAACTATTGCCCACTGACGTCACCATTGCAACTTCTATTACCCTTGGAAACATCTGCGCATCATCACTGTGCAGAGGAAAAACAGCAAAATGGAGGATGAGCACAAACACAAATCAACTCCGTTCACCATGGCAGATGTGTGTGAACTATACAATATAAGCAACGTGGATAAAGTTCCCTATGCTCAATACGTCTGTGTAATTTCAAGTGTTATGATAATCTATCTAGTGTGTTAAACACCATTGAATTTGTCAAGTGTGAGTCTCAGAAATTTCTAAGGTAAAAATTTCTGTTGAGCATATGATGACGTCACAGCTTATACATGTAATTACAACAATGGACCCGGGGAGGGGGCTTTCTAAGCCTTTTACCCTTCGCAGAGGAAACGGGACAAGAGTCAGTATAGGGTATATAATAAAACAAATAGTGACTGCCTAATTTCGAGCAATAGTGTAAATGATTTCCCCTTGGGAATATCCTCTATAATGTACTATTCCCTCAGCCTGCGGCAATGGCAGTCACTAATTGTATAATAGTATCGGCCCATTCTCATTGCACTCTCATTTCGTGCCTTCCTTGATGAAAACAGCACTGGATAAATTGCTTGGAGATGAATTGAGTTGGAACCTTGCGATCCAATCAAGATCAGCATGTCAGACGAAGAAGACTGAAAATTATTTTCAATTTGACTTGGTTTTTTCCACCGATGACAAAAAGAGATGGCAATCAAATTCTTACAATATTATATACTATAGCGATTTCAACAATATTACACTACTGATTTTATATGACATAAAGTCTAAATCATGTAAATCAAGCAAAAATACCTTCAAATCCTGACTTTGAGACATGATCAAAAAGAGCAACCACAGAGAGATTTTTAGATTTTTTGCCCAGAGAAGAACAATTTGGTAAAGTTGAGATTTCTCTAATACCCAAATCTGAATACTTTTGCATTCGATTTCGCATTTTGACAAATCTCTGTCGTTGTTAATGCAGGTATGTGATCGGTCAAAGCCTAAAATATTCGAAACAGTAAGAAATAAAACTTACTTTCAGAATCCAGTTTGGGTGATTCATGATAATTGAGGTCAAAAATGTCCGTCGCTGAAACTTTTTCAAGACAGGTAAATATTTGGATAGTTTGCACGTATGCATCCCTATGTGGTCTGATCTGCTATATAGACACGTCGACGAATAATATAAGATCATATACAGTCCCGAATTTTGCACAAAAACCACATACAATGGCAGAAATATCTAAGTAGGTCACGTCCAAAAATTGTAAAATTATTTGGAGTGGAAACTTCAAAAACATCTGATCTGCTATATAGGGAGATAGGGAGAAAGAAAGATCTTACTCGTAATGTTGTTGAATGTCAATATCATCACTCATTCACATCATCCGTCATTTCAAATCTATTACAGTTAATATCAGATTTAGTATCGTCATATTAGTTTCTTCTACCTGTCTCCTCTGGTTGAATCATAGTTCAACGCCGTTAAACTCAATAACGGCGTTCTTTACTATTAGGAATTTTCTTGGGGCCGTTATTGAGTTTAACCTCTTTACTATTCTTTCCTTTGATGCAAGTTCTGGATCCATCGAAACCATTTTGCTGGGATAACATGCAATTGATACTTGACAATAATATAAAAACACATAACATCAAGCGATATAACTCAATATTATTGTGTTAAATGTTCATTTATACTCGTAAAATGAGGCTACACTTACCGATCTCTAGAATGACATTTCCGCATGTCCGTCATTGTGTCTGTTCGTCCGAGTGTCCCGGATCGTAAAATTAAACTACTAGCGAAACGAAATTGTTGTCAAATAGATTGATAATTATTATCGCGATTACTCGCATTAAAAGATAAATTTTGAGGATAACAGGTATCTTTGATTGATTTATACAGCGCGTGTATACACGCAAAATAGTTATTAATTGCAAGCCTACTGTTTGTAAATGCAGTGCCGCGATGACGGTTAATTTCTGATACGATTTGCAATTTCGATGTTACCGAAACTGACCGACATTTTCGTTATATTCCAAACCTGTCTCCAATATTTTCGTAATTATGCATCAATAGGTTCTAAGGGGGATACGGGATGGTGTGTATGTATTCATAAGGTATGTATGCATGCTTGAATCACATTCTTTCTGTAATATTTCCATGGTTTCAGGGTTTAATTAGTTCCGCTTGTCGAAACCTGCTGAACGATTAAATTAACGCATCAAGGGCAAAATGATCATGGAGGTTAGACCTAGCCGGGGCCATAAGACATGTCAGATAAGAAACGAGGCCCAGGCTAGGTCTAATGTTGTTGGACTAGTTGAATCACACCTCTCGTCAATTTCGAAGATCTGACAATTCAGTACTTGTAGGCCCCAATGTCGGCTACATCCCTGCTGCTGTACTGCACCACATTCTCAAAACCTAGCCAGCGATCAATGTATATCACTGGCGGATCTGGGGGGGGGCCAGGGGCCCGGCCCCCCCCCCCCCCTTGGGTGGGCCCAGGAAAAAAAAATTGTGCCCAAAAAAAATTTTGAGCCATAAAAGGCTTTAAGGCCCCAAATAGTAGGCCTTATAGGTCTTAAATTGGCCTTCTAAGGCCTTGTTTTTTAATTTTAGGCCAAATTTTGAAGAAAATGGGCCTCAAAATTTCAAAATTTGGGCCCACTTTTGGGTTTTTGGGGCCCAAAATTTTTTTCCGCGGAAGCGCGGCCGTTTTTTTTTCTCAGACCACAAGTTTGGGCCCCCCCCCTTGTTGGTTCCCAGATCCGCCCCTGTATATATTCCTGAAGATCAAAAAATCTCAAAAACGAAGATCTATGCAACCTTGCAATAATTCTTGATTTTTCCGGAATAAGAAGTGATCATCTAAAATCTGGAGATCAAGGTTTGAAATAATACAAATATATACTTGTTAATTCTAGATATTCAGCAGAGGGGTAGATTAGTTGACAACAAAGATTCAAGATGAAGGTTGTGTGTGTGATAGATTTGAATGGTGCAGCTGGAGGTGGGGCCACTTCTTCAGTACGTAAACAAGCTTACACAGATCTGCAGAAAGCTTGTAAAAGGTAGATGCTTTCCATTCATTAATTTACTAAAAAATGAAAGTTTATTTCATGTTTAAAGTATGAATTAATATTTAGTGAAGCTTTTGAAAAGGAAAGAAACATCTTTTCTCATGTTATATTATTCAGGGAATTGTTTTGTTTTTTCATTTGAATCACCTCATAATTAATTTAAGAAATATAGACAGAAAAGCAGGGGTAATATCGTTGAATATATCCCGCAGGGCTAGGCACAAACATTTTCTGTACCCCCAACAACCGAAGGGAGTGAGGGGTTCGAAAGCTTTTGTGCCTAGCCCCAAGGGGTGTATTCGACGATATTACCCCTGCTCTGAGGTCTGTATCACGATTCGAACATGAAAACTCACCAAATTGTTTCGAATATTCAACATGGTCCGCCTGTTTACTACGACCCACCGTTATGACGTCACACATTACACATATTAACAGGGGTATTGATTGCGAATATATCCCAGGTGAAATGTTGACTTTGTTTACAGTTTATAGAAGGCGTGAATACAGTCTTGTTCGAATCATTGATATTGATAATTTATTTTTGATATTAATGATAATCACATGGGCTTTCAAGAGACTTCCAATAAACTGTTAAGAACATCTCGTTGAAACGAAAATTGACACAGCAAAACTCAAGTAAAAATATTCAATATCGAAACACTTTTAAAGAGTGAACTCTGAAAAACTGAATGTTACCCTTGGAGCAATAACAATGTAAATCAATTATTGCAATAATATTTGTAGTTTTAGAAATCTATTAATTCTTCTCAACATCATCTATTTCCAACAACACATCTCTATTTCCAGCATAAAAGCTGAACTTATACATCTCCAGTTTGAGAAGTTGGACTTTGGAGAGACAGACACTCTGGATACATTCTACAATGCTGATGTAGCTGTAGTTGATATGTCCATAGTTCTTCAACAGACAGCACTCTTCTATCATATAGGAGTCAGAGAAAGCATGGATATGACTGATAACTTTGTCTTGTTTCACGACACAGACACTGAAATCACAATCTCACTCAAGGTAAACATGTTCTCTTTATTGTTTTCTTTTAAAGAGTTGTTTTCAATTGAATTCTCTAAATTTTGCCTCCGTTAAGTCTCTGATGTTTTCATTTATGCTATTTGGACTTGTCCTGTCACACTGCAATTTGTGAGTTTGGAAATCTTGATGAAAATCATGTTTTTTCGCTTCTATGATGCAATTAAAGCTACCTTGATATGGTTTAAAATCTTTGTGTCAAAGGGACATTATTTCTTTCTGATTCTTTATTAGTCCAACCTTCTGATTGTAAAATGTGAGAAAAATGTGTTGACACAAATGTTACATACAGTACATCCAAATCAGGTTTTGGGAATACCATTTCTATTTCTTGAATGTGTTTGAATATATATGTTGTAGCTGTCCTGTTCTTCATATCATTTCCTCCCCTACATGATGGATGACGCCAACACATTGATTGTGCAGGATATTAACCTCATCAGGAAACGAGAATCTGCATGTGTTTTGCCAGACAGTGTAAAGACACTATATAGCCGCATAAAGAAGGCACTGAATGATATTGAGAGAGACTCAAGGTCAGTGGGTTTTTTTATTTCAAAGAAAAAACTGGTATTAAAGAAATAAAAACTATTGTGTCATTTTTTGAATACATATTTAACAGCATAATTAAAAACTGCATCAATTTTGAATTAACTATCTTTGTGCCAGTAGTTACCAGTTTCAGTACCAAGTGAATAACTCCCAATTTCTTTATGGAATCTATAACCCAACCTTAAAATCACATTTTCAAAGATGATGTACTTTTGAAACAACCTTTAAAACCTCTTTTAAGATGTGATTTTGGATATTTAAAATACAGTATATTATCACTTTATCTAAATCTTGAATATTTATTAATTGTTAATCCTCAATGTTAAAATGATCTTTTATTTCTTCGTTTTCAGTGCGCACATGAAGGATAAATTCCTCTCAGATTTGAGAAAAGTGAGAGCCAGTTGCAAGGGGGAGGAGTTAGCTCAGGTATTTTATTTTCTTATTGTCATACACTAAAGAACAAGTATGACCTTGTTAAAATCTCTGTTATTATTGATTTAACACTTTTAGCAACTGCCTTAATAAACTGATATATATTCATGGCTAAAGTGATCCAAAGTGTATTCAGATAATACAGAAATCTTGACTTTACCAAGGTTTTGTTCACTGGGCAAAATAACCCTAAAATCTCTCTGTGGTTGCTCATCTTAACCATGTGTTGATGTAGTTTTGTTTTATTTCCTGTTGTGATGACTTGAAATAATCACGTCATGTTTTTTAATTTTCAGAAATTGGAGAATATGCGTCAGAGATTGGATGACCCGTTGCTGTTGTCAGCAGATGTGATTCTCAACATGCTTCTCTCATACAGGGATAACCAAGTAAGTCTACAACTATGACATGCTTCTGACTTGCATTGTTATCTGTATGTACTACAGGGATAACCAAGTAAGTCTACAACTGTGACATGCTTCTGACTTGCATTGTTATCTCTATGTACTACAGGGATAACCAAGTAAGTCTACAACTGTGACATGCTTCTGACTTGCATTGTTATCTCTATGTAATGATGATGTTGATTAGTTGATATATAACTAAAGACTGAGATTTTATGATTTAAGGCGTAATATATGACCGAAAATGTTATTCTGTTCATTGTCAAAAGACAGAAACCACGTAGCCGTAGCGATAGAGGTCTTTGGCAATGGCCAGAATAAAATTTGAGGTCATATACCAGTATTTGCCATAAATCGTAAAATCGAGGTCTTTGTTACGATTCCAATATGATAAACAGGCAAGAAACAGGCAAGAATTTTAGCGGTCATATATACTCCAATATACACCTGTAAATCAATTGCTCTAGTTATTATTGTGACATCATGTATCATATAAGAATACTTTATATAATTATCCCATCGAACGAAGTTCGGAGGGATATAGGGAACGCCTCCATCCGTCCGTCCGTCCGTACGTACGTCCGTCCGTACGTACGTCCGTCCGTACGTACGTCCGTCCGTCCGTCTGTCCGTCCGTCCGGGCAATAACTCAAATACCGTTGGCCTGATTTTGTTCATATTTTGTACACATATACCCTATGGCGGTAGAAGTTCTGCTCGAGAGCCAATTTTCAAAATGGCCGCTCATTTCAAAATGGCGGCCATTTTAGTGACGATTTTACAGTAATTTAGGTGCAATATGTAAAACTGTAATAGCAATATGTTTTAAATGTAAAAAAATTATAAAGGACATTAATAATGCTACAAATGTAGATATTAAAGAAGCACATGGCAGCCATCTTGAAAAATGGCGGCCTTTACTCGTCATTTTATGATTTTTGCTGTAACTCAAAAAGTAGTGGAACGATTTTGTTCATATTTGGTATGTGAATACTATAAGCATTGCACACTGTCTGAAGACACTTTTGGTAGAAGGCGGCCATTTTGAAAAATGGCCGCCATTTTAACGTATTTAACTATAACTCGAAAAGTAGTGGAGCGATTTTGTTCATATTTGGTATGTGAATACTATAAGCATGGCACACTGTCCTATGACACTTTTGGTAGAAGGCGGCCATTTTGAAAAAAAATTTGAAAAATGGCCGCCATTTTAACGTATTTTACTATAACTTGAAAAGTAGTGGAGCGATTTTGTTCATATTTGGTATGTGAATACTATAAGCATGGCACACTGTCCTATGACACTTTTGGTAGAAGGCGGCCATTTTGAAAACAATTTTGAAAAATGGCCGCCATTTTAACGTATTTTACTATAAATCGAAAAGTAGTAGAGCGATTTTGTTCATATTTGATATGCGAATACTTTAAGCATGGCACATTGTCTAATAAAACTTAAGGGAGTAGTCGGCCATTTTGAAAAATGGCCACCATTTTTATGTGTGTAATTTTACAAGTACGTGTGCGATTTTTCAAAAATTTTAGAGGTTGTTACTAAAAAGCATATCATTTCTTCTGATGACAACTTGGCTAGTGAGCAACCATTTTGAAAATGGTGGCCTTTCTGGTGTGTTGTTTTATGATATTTCGATTCGTTTGTAAAAATGCCAGCCATTTCTGTTCGATGGGATTCGCTACGCTTTGGCGTTGCCGTTGTTCTGGTTGGTCATCTTTCATTTCTAAACACTATTATCAGATTAGTTTTACCACAAAAATTATTTAAATAAACTTATTTTCAAGTCAATGATGCAATGGACTTAATCAGTAGCTTATGAGACATTCATGAATGTTCTGTAGAATTATGATGCTATGGTGCGACTGGTAGAAGATATCCATCAGCTGCCAAACAATAAAATTACAAAGGCTCTTGGTATCCAGTACTGGTATGCCTTTGCTCTAGTCAGACGCAAGCATAAAGGAGACCAGGAGAAAGGATTGAATGTCATTTTGAAGGTGGGTTTTACGAAATGTTGAGTTCTTATTTTCTGATGTCACCACCAGTGGTCACATATTTCTACATTTTCATTATTTGTCACATTCAGCATTGTTGGTTTTTACCTGCAACAAATTATTACACTTTCATAACCATGGTGACTAATATCAAGAAAATGGGGTGCCTTGAATTTTAAAAAATGCTTTTATACTCAGTGATTTGGTATCCTGAAAAGGTCAATCATTAACAAACTTACTTAATCCAACTCACAAAATATATTTTTCTTAACCCTGACTAAACTCAATAGCTTTAAAATGAAAAGGTGCTTTTTTCTAGGCAATAGAGGACAGTGAAACCCCAGTACCAGATATGCTGTGCTTAGTGGGGCGTATCTACAAGAACAAGTTTGTTGAGTCAGACTACAAAGACAGCGAATCCAGAGACCAAGCCATTTATTGGTAAGGACAACAAATATGTTTAACTTCAAGTTATTGGCCGATATTCAATTGCTAAATATGGTCACCATAAGCTAAAGGCATTTTTTACGACTTGATGTTTTTACTCATAGCAAATTGTGGTGCTTCCAATTTATTTATAAACAATCATATGTTATTTTCATGAAACAAAATCTCAAGCATGATTATTTTGGAAAATGTTTTTATTTACTTTAGGTATAGAAAAGGTTTTGAGGTTCAACCCAATGAATATGCTGGCATCAACCTAGCGACACTGCTAGTTATATCTGGTAAAGAATTTAGCAAGTCAACAGAACTGCAGCGTGTAGGTAGGTGACAGTCTACACTTTATATGCCCTTTTGATGATAATTTAATATTTGTCGTATGAATACTTAAAATGTATTCAGTAGCAAACAGTTAGTTTTGAAATTCTAATGTATTGTAACTTACATATTACAAGAATTTTGGAGCAATTTTATTGGCTAATTATTCTTTTTAGGCCTCACTCTCAACAATTTGATTGGTCGAAAGGGTAGTTTGTCTTCCTTAAAGGACTACTGGGATATTGCCACATTCTTTGAAATCAGTGTCCTAGCTGAGGATTGGTCAAAAGCATCACAGGCTGCCGAGTGTATGTTTGAACTGGAACCTCCAATATGGTGAGTAAATCATTCAATTATTTATGTGTACAGAACATCAGTTTAGAACATGGTTAGTTGATTGCTTGGCTTAGGCGAGGTTGTTTGATGTCAGTTAACAAGCCAAAACAACTATTCATTTATAATCTCTCAAAGGAGGAGCCTTTGATTTTAAGTGTCTGTAACATTGGCATCTGTAACATGGTGTCCGTAACATTGGCATCTGTAACATGGTGTCTGTAACATTGGCATCTGTAACATGGTGTCTGTAACATTGGCATCTGTAACATGGTGTCTGTAACATTGGCATCTGTAACATGGTGTCTGTAACATTGGCATCTGTAACATGGTGTCTGTAACATTGGCATCTGTAACATGGTGTCTGGAACATTGGCATCTGTAACATGGTGTCTGGAACATTGGCATCTGTAACATGGTGTCTGGAACATTGGCATCTGTAACATGGTGTCTGTAACATTGGCATCTGTAACATGGTGTCTGTAACATTGGCATCTGTAACGTTGTGTCTGTAACATTGGCATCTGTAACGTGGTGTCTGTAACATTGGCATCTGTAACGTGGTGTCTGTAACATTGGCATCTGTAACGTGGTGTCTGTAACATTGGCATCTGTAATGTGGTGTCTGTAACATTGGCATCTGTAACATGGTGTCTGTAACATTGGCATCTGTAACATGGTGTCTGTAACATTGGCATCTGTAACGTGGTGTCTGTAACACTGGCATCTGTAACGTGGTGTCTGTAACGTGGTGTCTGTAACATGTGGTGACATTTTGTATGTTGTTGCCTTGTTCCATCCATCTGTCTAAAATGATTTGGTTTTATTATGTCCCCACCACATAGTGTGGGGCCATATTGTCGTCCTAGGCGCGTCCGTCCGTCTGTCTGTCTGGTTGTCTGTCTGTCCGTCCGTACGTCCGGCAGTTTTCTCCAAAACCGCTACAGGTATCACCATCTAATTTTCAGGAATAACTTATGAGTGCCTATAGATGTGGATGAAAAAAATTTAACTCGAAACCTACTTCCTGTCGGCCATTTTGAAGTCAAATGCTAAAATCCTTGTCTGCAAACTTTAAGAAAAACTGCTTCACAGTTGCTTTTAAAACTTTAACATCTTGTTCAGCTCACTTCATTCTAGATCTGATTAGGTTTTGGACCTGCTAGCTCAGTCATGTCAGCCATTTTGAATGTCTTAAGAAAAGTTAGCGCGCGATAATACTTTGTATCATATTGAATGGTGTTTTTGAGTTTTCATACTTTAACTATTTAGTAGCTTTATAAATAATTTCAGATGTACTTTGCTGTAAAATCCTACTTTATTGTTAACAGTAGTTACATGTGATAATTTTGTAAAAAGAAATCAGCAAAAACTCATAAGGACTTTTTTATTGTCGGCCATTTTGGATTTTTCGGTCCTAAAATCTTGTCTGTGAAGTCTTGTCTGCACGTTTTCAGGTGAACCGTTTGGTGGATCAATTTCAAATTTTCAGGGATGATTCTTAGTATAAAAATCTAGATCTCATTAGTTTTTTGGCATTCTGGGTAAATTTCAAGGCAGCCATTTTGGATTTTCCGTTCTAAAATCTTGTCTGTAAAGTCTTGTCTACTCGTTTTCAGGTGAACTGTTTGGTAGATCAATTTCAAATTTTCAGGAATGATTCTTAGTATGAAAATCTAGAACTGATTAGTTTTTTTGCATTCTGGGTAAATGTCAAGGCAGCCATTTTGGATTTTCCGTCTTAAAATCTTGCCTGTAAAGTCTTGTCTACGCATTTTTAGGTGAACGGTTTGATAGATCAATTTCAAATTTTCAGGGATGATTCTTTGTATGAAAATCTACATCTGATTATTTTTTTGCATTCTGCGTAAATGTTAAGGCAGCCATTTTGGATTTTCTGTCCTAAAATCTTGTCTGTAAAGTCTTGTCTACCCGTTTTCAGGTGAACCGTTTGCTAGATCAATTTCATATTTTCAGGGATGATTCTTAGTATGAAAATCTACAAACAGATTAGTTTTTTGACATTCTTGGTAAATGTCAAGGCAGCCATTTTGGATTTTCCATCCTGAAATCTTGTCTGTAAAGTCTTGTTTACATGTTTTTCTGGTTAACTGTGTGACGGATCAATTTCAAATTTTCAGGGGTGGTTCTTAGTATGAAAATCTAGAACTGACTAAATTTTTGGCATTCTGGGTAAATTTTAAGGTGGCCACTTTGGATTTTCCGTCCTCAAATTGTGTTGGTAAAGTCTTGTCTACTCATTTTCAGGATAACCATTTCACGGGATCACCACTTGGTGGGGACATTTTGTACACATTTGTGTTCTTGTTTGTCTTGCAGGTATCTCACTTCAACTGTAGGGAATATTCAACTAATCAACAGTTTTAGGAAATTTGAGGGTGAAACTTCTGTAGAAAAACAGGTAGGGCATATATGAACTGTTATATACAGTATGATAGTTAAATATAGTGGCAATTTTATTTCAAAATATATCAGGTGAAAGCTTTGAATTTAACCAGGTTTCTGGTTAATTTAGAGCTCTAACCAGTGATATTTTGGGTTTTCAGTTCTTTATTCTGAGGTTATGGTACATTTTAAGTACATCCTTTATCCTGCTTGAATCACATTAACCTCTTGACTACCCAGAGTGACGAGATTTCTCGTCACTTCAGAAATGATCTAGAAACCCAGAGTGACGAGATAATCCGTCACAAAATTGTTCACTAAAATTGCTCTTATTTGAACAAGTTTTATCCAATTTACACAAAAATTGTTTTAAGATGTCTAGAAATGATCTCCGCTGTCTAATTTTACTAAATTGAACATCGTCTGTTGCGTGTGTATGTAGTTAAATGTCAAAAGCTGTCAAAAATGAAATTTTATCTTGTTTCAACCTATTTTGGAACCTGGGATTCAAGAGGTTAAAAAGAAAGAAATTATTTATATTTTGGAATTGCTTTTTCAGTTGTTTGATTTCTGGATGGACTTCTTTGTTGAGGCCACCAAGGGTGAATCAACAGATGTTAGGTTCCCAGTTCTCATACGAGAACCTAGTAAGGAATACATCCCTAGCTATGCTCAGATTAACATTGAGGATCCAGACTCAGATCAGGTAAGGAATCTTTTCAGTGTACTAGAGATCCAAGGATTCATAATACAATTTAACCTGCTAAGTGGAACATCTCTGTATATGGAACATCTCACAAGTGGAACATGTCACAGTTTTTAAATCATAAAATTTTTTTATCAGTTGTTACTCTGAATGTTTATTTAAATACTACTTTGAGTATATTGCTATAGAAGTGCATTTGATAATGCAATATTGTTTTCAATATTGTTTTTGGCTAGGCCATAAAATTGACTTACTTTTGAATAATTCTGAATAATTTTAGCCCTCAGCTGTGAGGTTATGGCATGTCATACAAGAAAGTGAGACGATGAAGATACATGACTGGACGTTCCCAGCTTCCACCATCAAAAGTGTCAGGTCAGTATAGCTGAAAAACAAAAATATTGCACACAATTTCAACAAAGTTGGTATTTGCTTTATAATGGTAGATGTAAGTTGCACATTGAGGACTTCTTAACCATGGGTAATTCTCCATGTTCTAACCAAAATCATGTGATCAGTACTTAGCCAATAAGAGAATGAGTAACATTCTGATGATTTATGATACACGCTGTTATTTTTCAGTTTATACAAGAGAGACAGCCGTGCGATATTTCTCTATGTCCAGGAAAACTCTGATGATTTTGAAATCTATTTCTCATCTGAGGTTCAGAGACAGAGGTAAGATACAACTGCAAAAGAAAATATACATGTATATATCTATAATATACATGTATACATAATGCAGTGCTCTCCCCATATTGAAATCTCTGAGGTGCAGCACCTCCATGTATTTCATAAAACAAAATGTTCCTCTATTCAATAATATGTACCTCCTAAAATGTTACAATAAAAAATGAGGAAACACCTAAATTTGCACAAAAATTAGAAAGTCATAAAATGTAGCACAATAAATTCTAAAAAATAACAAAATTCTCCACATTAAAGATTCCTGGGAAGAGCACTGTACTGTATATATTTCTGTACTTAATAAGGTTCTTGGTCGTTTTCTTAATTGTTACCGTCTTTATGTACATCATTTTATCTACTAGGTACTAGTAATGGCAAAATGATTGGACATAATTTTTCAAATCAAGAGTCATGCAAATTCTTTCCTGATATCTTAGTAGTATAAAACAGAGTTTAAAGCTAGAGGCTCATTCTTTATCTATGACAAGTGTAACAAAATCTAATTATCCCAAACTCCTTGACCCTCCACTAGCATGTGCATGGAATGTTGATTGTAACATGGTGACATGGGTAGTATAACATGGTGACATATCTGGTATAACATAGTGACACGGTTGCAGGTTGTATGATATGGTTATGGATATGATTGCTGACCAGGAAGGTGCAGTTCCAGACCTGGATATAGAGGCCATTAGTCAAACTATAGAGGTAATTTTTGAAACCATGGAGGTAATCTTTCAAACTGTAGAGGTAATTCTTGAAATCATAGAGGTAATCTTATATAAAACTATAGAGATGATCTGTCAAACTATAGAGATGATCTGTCAAACTATAGAGATGATCTGTCAAACTATAGCGGTAATCTGTCAAACTATAGCGGTAATCTGTCAAACTATAGCGGTAATCTGTCAAACTAGAGATGATCTGTCAAACTATAAAGGTAATCTGTCAAACTGTAGAGGTTATCCTTGAAACTATAAATGTCATCATTCCTTCAACTAAGCCTAGTTAATACTGTGGTTATGGCAGTTAATCTGGGATTTTCATTTATTTACTTTCAAATTGGATGATTAGCTTACTTAGTGCAGGAGTGAGTCATGTATCTTTATTCAGTTCAGCAAAGGCCATTAAGTTTCTTAAATTAAGAATAATGTAATATGAAATCAGAGTAAGGTTATAAGCAAGGCAATAAAAGTAACCTTAAGTCCTTCATTTCTGTATTGGTGGGAGAGCTTAGAGGACCCTGTCAGGATGAATGATCTATGACACCGCCTCTGTTGATTATCTGTTTATGTCTCTGGTTGCAGTATGAATATGAGCTAGATGAGAAAGGACAGAAGATCGTGTTGGGAAGGGGGACATATGGTACAGTATACTGTGCCAGGGACCTTAACACACAAATTAGAGTTGCAGTCAAAGAAGTGCCTGAAAAGAACCTCCAGTAAGTACTAAGTACAGATGCTTTTGAAAATCTTAAGTATTTTTCTCAATTCAACAAAAATCACCCCCCCCCCCCCCCGTAACTCCCATCTCTTGAAATAAACAAAGTTTATTTGTGTTCCAGAGAAGTGCAGCCGCTACATGAAGAGATCAAACTTCACTCCCGGTTGAGCCACAAGAACATCGTCAAGTACCTCGACTCTGTCAGTGAAGACGGTTACTTCAAAATATTCATGGAACAGGTTACTTATATTATTACATTGGTGATTCTTTATGTACAGCTGCTATGCCTCTGAAAATTCTTGAAGTTAAACCAATCACCATGCTTGATAATCATAGCATTCTTATCTCTTTTGAGACATTTTTGTAACAGTATATTTGTGCATAATAGATAATATAGAATGTCATCAAGGAGGGATCTCTCTTCCAGTGTCATTTCTAAATATGAAACAATGAGGTTTTTCTCACCTTGAATGGTGGTGAAGAAAATAAGATACTATACTTCAAATATTCACTGGTAAACAACTATTTGCATAGAAATTGTTGATATTATATTTTAACGTGCGTGGATCTACATCTTTCATTTAAAGGGGCCTGGATCTACATGAATGCATATCATATTTTAAGGTGCCTGGATCTGCATGAATGCATATTATAAAGTGCCTGGATCTCTATGAATGCATATTATATTTTAAGGTACCCGGAGGAAGCCTGTCCCAACTGCTTAGATCAAAGTGGGGTCCACTGAAAGACAATGAAACAACCATTGCATTCTATACAAGACAGATACTGAAAGGCCTCAAATACTTAGTACGTATTAGACATGTTTTGGTCAAATTTCTGCATGGATTTCTGTAAAAAATAGCAAATTCCACAAACTATGAACACCAGAAAAATTTTGTGTGTTGGTAGTTTTGTAATATGAACTCCCTAACTTTTTCTCAAAAAGGCAATTTCTGTAGTTACACAGATAAATTAAAAATAGGGATGAGTGATTTGAACAATTGCACAGTTGAATCAGTGGCACACTGAAAATATTTTATTCAAGTTTTTCAACGTGACGACAAAATAATTCATTCACACATTAATAGTGACAAGCTCCTGGTGAATACATATAGTGGCATACTAAAGATATTCTTTTGTATTCTTTCAGCATGACAATAAAATAGTCCATCGAGACATTAAGGGTGACAATGTACTGGTGAATACATATAGCGGTATACTGAAGATCTCAGACTTTGGCACATCAAAGAGACTTTCTGGATTAAACCCTTGTGCTGAGACATTTGCAGGTCTGTAAATTCAAAAAATAAAGTGGGGGAATTATCTGCATATTAAAGCATATAAAACATTCACCCTATTGCTCCTTTGAATGTCATAAACTAGTACTTTCAAGATGAATGTACATGTATGTATTTTTTGAGGTCATACATTTCTTTTGAGGTCTCATGTGGCTAATGGGCAAATGCCACTGCTCATCTATATAGCCATTCCTGGGTTTTCTACAAATGTTTTAATTACGGTTTTATTGTTTAAACTGCCATTCATTAATTCTTCCTCAATCAAAAAGACTTACCCATTTTCTTTCGTTTAATATAACATTCATTATAACTTACCTCAGAAACTAAGAATGGAAAGTATCTCAATTGGACAGATGAGAGATGCCATCGGATCAATTTAGTCAATTGATGATTGCACAGTATGGAAACAATTAAAATATGTGGTATTTGTACTATGTAATACTTTAACTTCTAGGCACACTGCAGTACATGGCTCCAGAGGTTATAGACAAAGGGGCAAGAGGCTATGGACCCGCAGTAAGTAGACAAATGCCAGATGTTCCTAAACAGAAGTAGAGACTACAGTCAAGCCAATAGAAATAGAATGATAAATATAAAGCGTTTCTGATAATATGTAGTTAAACTTGTAAAGTGGAACAACTCTGAAAGTGGTACACTTAAAAGTCTTTTTAACCATTTACTTCATATGAAATGGACTTATGAGATATGGATTGAAGATCAAGATTGCTAATGTGGAGATATCATCAATAAACGTTCTCTAATCCATACCTACTCAAACTAATATAAGTCAGAACAACTGTTGGTTGATAACATGATACAAAAATTGAGTTGCACATAGTCTATTGATGATGGTATGTTTTCAGGCGTCAACATATCTATTGGTTGATAACATGATACACAAATTGAGTTGCACATAGTCTATTGATGATGGTATGTTTTCAGGCGTCAACATATCTATTGGTTGATAACATGATACACAAATTGAGTTGCACATAGTCTATTGATGATGGTATGTTTTCAGGCGTCAACATATCTATTGGTTGATAACATGATACACAAATTGAGTTGCACATAGTCTATTGATGATGGTATGTTTTCAGGCGTCAACATATCTATTGGTTGATAACATGATACACAAATTGAGTTGCACATAGTCTATTGATGATGGTATGTTTTCAGGCGTCAACATATCTATTGGTTGATAACATGATACACAAATTGAGTTGCACATAGTCTATTGATGATGGTATGTTTTCAGGCTGATATCTGGTCTCTGGGATGTACTGTCATAGAGATGGCAACTGGAAAACCACCTTTCATAGAGGTACCAGAGTTAAAACTCCTTGTTCAAGAATTGATTTCAAAGAATATTAGGCATAGAAATTGAAATTAAATTAACAAATGTCAAAGTTATAAAAAACTATTTTTAGATCACATTTCCAGGTGTATTTTTATGTGGAGTGTGATAATAACAACTGTTTAACTAGATATTTTATATTAAAAAATTACTGGCATTTAGTGTATAGTAGAATTTTTTTCATCACCATTTTAAAACAGGTCTGTGTAAACTGCAACAATACTCCTATTGTTGCTACAAATAATTTGCTATCTAATAAGAAATTGTAACCAATAACAGCCAGAGTTACTTGGAGCCTGGTTGCAGTTTGTACACTTTGTTTCAAAACTAAGATTACCGAAACAAAATTATTTTCATCCAATCAAATCTGATTCTTGGTTTAAATTAATGATATCAATAACATATTGCTTTCTTTTTCTAGCTTGGATTGCCACAGGCGGCCATGTTCAAAGTAGGCTTTTATAAGATTCACCCAGATATCCCTCCAACCATGTCCGACACAGCAAAGAACTTTCTAGAACGGTATGTCACATATCCATATTCATTGTAATCCTGTCATGTATTAAGAAACCTTTATTTCTATGAATACTCCTTATTATGCAGGGCTTACATTTACATTGATATAATTGGAGTCGATCGCGACTGGGGTGGACTGACTTTTTCACATCAGCCCTTTGCACAGGATTTCATTCTGTGTTTTCATGAACTAATAATACCAAAGATGGTAATTTGCTACCAGATGTCAAAGAATAAAGACTGAAATAATCTCTAGCACTGTCTAATCTGCTCTCTACCCAGTGAAAAATCATCTTATTTCATTGAGCTTATTCACTACCTAATGGATGCAAATAACCTATAATTGAATTTTTGCACTGGGCATAAAATGTGAGTGTTGAGGCCTAAGTTATGCCAAACACAGTATTAGAGCACTTATTACATGTTTATGGAAAGGTGTCACATTTTGAATATAAGGCGAAAGTATTGCCATTCATCCTATTAAATGAAAATAATAAGGTATAATGCAATGTTCAAAATGTTGATATTGTAAATGTACAGTAGAGTTTATTCTGAAAATAACACAAGATTTCAATTTTTTTTTATTTTCTCAGATGTTTTGTTCCTGATGCTGAGAAGCGAGCAACAGCAGCAGAACTTTTAGAAGACCCCTTCTTGTCCGAGTAAGTATGAACTGTTTAAATTATTTAAGCATTACTTTATTTATTATTAGATAGTTACCTTCAACATGTATTATATTCTGGTGTTTTATCATTTTTTGTACACTTTATTTTTAGACTGTAGTGTCCTCCTTCTTGAGTTACAAAAATAAATAAAATATGTACTTATTTATATTTCAAAAATCATAATGTTTACATTTTTAGATCAACCTTGTTTTGTGAATTTATGTTTTATTTATGACTGTACATTGACTTTACAATTTCTGTAATATTTCCTTAAATTAAACATATTTCATTATGTTTTGTAATTTTTTTGACTAATAACTTTCTAAAGAGGAATAATTCCTCAATTTTTTCATCAGAAATGTGTTTATTTGCATTGTTGAACAAAACTTCATGTTATTGATTCAAAGTGTGTTGCAAAATGTGACAAGTTTAAAGTTCACATTTTCCAGATGTAAAATGTATACTAATGTAAATTGTACCTATAAAACCAAAATGCACTACATCCTAAAAATCAGCAATCTCCATCAAAGGATATTAAAAGGAGATGTGAATTCTTGAAACCATTTTTGCATTGGTTTAATTTTATGTATTGTATTCTAGTGGATTGATACATTTTACCAGGATCAGCTGTGACTCCCTAAGTCCCCTTGCAATTCATCTAAGTTTATATACAAATATACAAGGGCCGATCAAAAACTTGTAATCTTGAGTGACCCTGTATATGTTACCATATTTTGCCTATTAAACACACATACCTTGCAGTCTGACAGTAACAACCCTTGGTATATATAAGCTAACGAAAAAAGCATTATAACAAGAGCAGGGCTTGCATTAACGGCGTCCCGTACATGTTAAGGACTCAAAAATAATTTGGAGGACGCAAAAATTGAAAATATTTCTGTTTTTTGGACGCAAAATTTTTTTAGGTCAATACTTCAATGTGTTTACAACGATACCTAACAAAAACAAATAATTATGATCTCTCACCTTTATTTGAATCGTAAATAAGGCTCAACATGTTGAATATTTACAAATAATCATGACTCTCTCGAATTTTTTCGACTTAGTTTATTTTTAGATTTGAAACCATGACACGCCACAGTTTTTCCTATTCAGAAACAAATATTAGGTTATTCATGAAATAAAATGTATTCATTGTCGAATGAACGAACATGCATTTATTCAGTCCATACTTAACGTTTACTTCCGTTTTAAATTCGCGGCAAGAAATCAAATTGTTGTGTTGAAGCAAAGACAATCATGTGACAAAATTAACTTCAAGGTGTTTTGGTAAAAAATGCTTTTAAAATAAAGTTATACCTCAAAACAGGCTAGAAATAGGGGACACACTTGTTTTCAAAGGACACACTTTTTAAAAAAAATTGTGTCCTTGGGACTCACAAATTTTCTAACCTAAAGCAAGCGCTGCAAGAGGGATTCTTTTTACCCAATTTCTTATTCATAATTTTTTTTGTTGATTATAATGCTGATTTATGATTGCCTCATACATTTACCAGTGGTTTTTATAGGAGGGCATCACTATGGAGGCCTTGGAAGCATCCACGCATTGTTTCTCTGAGACCAATTTTTGGATTTAGAAACTTGGGTGTGCGTTTAATAGAGAGAGTACGGTAATATATGAGCTAGCCCTTCAGGTTGCCCCTGATCAACCTGCAAGCCCCTTTTAAACTTATTTTGAGCTTGTTTGGTTCAGTTTAGCCTTAAACCATCACAGAGGACAGAATTTAAAAACGAAAGAAAATGGAAAGGGGATTTCATGCAGTGTTCTCCCCAGGATTTTTCTTAAGTGGGTGCAAAATTCTTATTTTCACAATTTAAAAATTTGGTAATTTGGTCAAAATATGCCTATTTTTCATGATTTTCTCATTTTCAAGTGGATGTCAATAGATTTTCTCAAGTGCAAGTGGGTGTAAATGGATTTTCTCAAGTGCAAAAGGGTGTAAATGGATTTTCTCAACAAGCACATTATTTAAATCTCAAGAGGGTACAGCACCCACTTGCATGAATACTGGGGATAACTGTAACAATAGAATCACATTAAAGATAGAAAGACATTCATCTTTTAGAGAAAAGCTTTCTCGAATTAGTGTGTCCAGAGTGAATTTTTCTTACTAAGCACCATGTACTAATATTGGCCTTCATTTCATTAGGATGCGGAGCAGAACATCCTCTATGTAAGACCCTTTCAGTGTTCATTTAGGCTAAAACAAAAATCACGTTGTTTAGTGGTGTTAAGGTTCAAATAATTCAACACAAACATTGATATTTGATAAGAATATGTGATTTTCAGAAAGTACGTTTCATGCCTTTAAATCTTCTATTGATTTAAGTTAGTTTCAAGATTTTGATCTTGAGGTGCTGACTTTTATTTCTGTACTTTGAGGTAGTCGCTAAACAACTACTGATTTCTTTGGCCTACATCTGTATATTATCTGTTCACTGGCTTTAGGATAACTAAATGTAACCTAGTGGATATATGAAACATACAGTGAAACCTGTAAGAAATGAATACCTTGCCTTCTAAATGGATCTGCTGTTTAGGGGTTGAATTGTCTAGGGATTGACTTGTTCACTGATGTCTAGGGGATGAGTTGTCCATAAGCCTATGTGGATCTCCATATCCATTCTCCATCCTCCATTCACCAGGTGTGAACAAAATCTGTTCCTTGAAGATATTATTCTGGATCTCTTTTATTCTTTATTCCTACCCACACTTGTGAGTATAAAATAGTACATATACATACAATGATAATACAGTTTAGTTTAATTCACTACCACCAATAATCTTCATCAATTTACTTAATTGCACAGAATATTTAATATTTGACAACAAACTTTTAAATTTTAACATGTTTGGTTGTCTAATGAAGTAATGAAGCTCTTGCTAATGGAGGATAGTTTTGGGTATTTTTTACCATACTTAATTGAGTCTTTATCAAGAGGCATATCAAAAGGTTTTGATTTATTTTTGCCAATAGATGGCTATGAATCTTGTTACTTTTCACGTCGTCTTACTTGAGTTTAGTAGTTTCAAGAGGTCACTGCTCAAATGAGAGATATTCACTAAGACAGGTTTTACTGTATGTTGGCAGAGCTGCCATTACATGTTATATTTACCATATTACCATACTTGGATAAAACCATATTTTTTCAAATTAATCTTATCTCAGAAAAATGTAAAATATAATCATAGCAATTCACAAATCATACCCTAGATTCGCCTTTTCCTTATCCGAAGTATCTCTCTAGTCATGTTGTGTCGAACATTGAAAAAATGTCATTGGGGATCTTTATAAGAAATTGAATAATATCAATATCATATATAAGGTGCACATTGCACAACTTTGTGTAAGTTGCACTATGCCACTTAAGTGAGTTCAAAAGTTTGACATTTTTTGCATATCAATTTTCAATTTCCTCCAGTCTATATGGCTTCTAGATGATTCATGTCAATATATTGTCTTCGTTAGCTGAATATTGTAGCAAATATCACTGTTCATACTTAGCTTGATGGTCAATAGGGGGATGTGCTTCTTAGATATTCTTAGCCTCATTTTCATAATTTCTGCCTCAATTTCAAGATTAAGTTTCAATTTGGTGAACTGGGTGAATGATATTTTTGTGTTGTCTCTTTTTGTCAAAAGATGCATAAACTCCGCTTTATTTAAACTAAATTATTTTAATAATAAAACGTAACCCTTGAGAATGAATTGTTTTAATCTTTTATTGAGGTTTATTTGTAAATCTTACCAGAAATTTTAACTTTTCATTTGTTTTTATTTTTTTTTATTTTTTTATTGGTTCGCCTTTAGATGCATTTTCATAACTTGGCATCAATTGACTTTATTCTGTCTGTAATCATCAGCTGCTAATAGATGGCATTAATAGAAACCATATTGGATTTGAGACAATTATTTTAGGTTCAAATGTTCATTACATACTTCTGCTCCTCTAGTTTGATTATTTTTATCATTTTATCACATACAGAATTTGGTTTGCTATTTCCCCTCAATTCACGGTGACCTATTTGACCCCTAGTTGCTTGCCCCTGAGTCTGACCCCTTGTTCTGGCCCCCAGGCCACACCCTGAATCCCTGGCCCTATAAATTGAGAAAAGTTGGTCACTGTGAACATGCTTACCAAAAAGAGTGTATGTAAGAAAAATGATTGCATCGCTCTCATAGAAAATGAACCTTAATGTGTTGTATATTTCATCAAAGTATGAACCAATGTCCCAGGATTCCCTTCTCATATGTAGCAAGTTGATTGGTTGATGTTGCATGATCAGTGTTAAATGGGCCAATGAGATGTCCTAAATGTTATCAAGTCGTTCCCCGTGGTTACAAGAGCAACATAAATAAAGGAATGTTATAATTATCATTATTGTTAGTATGTTGGTATCTCCCTGGTGATGTGTTGGACTATATCATGATATTATAATGTACCAGTAAAATTTCAAATGTTTGGAACTACTTTGAATCTAAAAAATAAGCAATTAAAGGACCATATTGAAACAGACTATGTAAAAATAGAAACATTTATACATGTCCTAACTTTTGTATATTTTAGTTTGTTTTGTAGTTTAGCTATCACATCTGTGGTCTCTTATTATGTCACCACCAAAAGTGGTGACATATTGTTATGGTCTCCGTTTTTTTGCGACGGCGGTTGGTGGTTGGCGTCCGGCGTCTGGCGTCCGGCGTCTGTAACAATTTCTTACAACTTCCTATAACTTAACAAATACTGTTTAGACTGACTTCAATTTTTTTCTAAATCATCTACATGTTCTCAGAAGTTCAAGTCTGACTTTAGATTTGACATTTGACCTTCAATGACCTTCTCAAGGTCAAAAAGGTCTTTTTTCAACTTGCTTCACATTGACTAAATTGTTTTTCAAAATCATCTACATGTTCTCAGAAATTCAAATCTGACTTTAGATTTGACTTTAGATTTGACATTTGACCTTCAAATCTGAC